ATTTTTATGAGACTTAATTTTTTGGAGAGGAGATCCATCCATCCAAATATTTCAGAGAGCCGTCGAATTAAGACAGAGCTTGAGATTACGTTAACTCTCTTATGCTATGATCATCTCCCCCTCCCTTCCCACTCTCCTTTCTCCACGCTCCTAACTACTCTTAGGAAGTTCACCAAACTGTTAGAATCTTCCCAAATGCATGCTACTTTTCTCTCCGTATTTTATAAAAAATGATGCCGCTTTTTCTATCAGAGTCTAAATTCCCATTAAAACGTTGACTTCTAATACGTGGGTTCTCGAAGAATTGATGTCGAAGCTGAGTGATGACGACGATGGGAATCGACACATATCTAAACCTTGTCACTTTTTCCCGCTCAATGGTTCACTAAAAATGACGGTTTGGCTGTTTATCATTTCACTAACTTGTTAGTCAAGAAGGAATAAGAATTCATTCCGTAGTCCAGTTATGGAGAAGCGACACCCATGAATGTTCCGAAAACGTGCAAAATTTTACAGATTGCGCATAAACCGTTCAGAAGTAAATCAATTTTTCTATACCCAGTTTTGGTTATTTTCCACCTCATGAGAAGTAATTACGAATGCTAGACAGTCCTAAATGTCTTAATTTTTGTCGCGTTATTACGAACGCTCTGTCAATTTCTTTTTCGGGCAGTGTCAGTTTTGACACTCCAGTGGATAATGATCACCACTGGCTTGTTATAAATCCACCCTTTACACAGGCATATAAAAGGAGTTAAACCCTTTTAGATGTAGCCAAAACGTCGGTGTGTTTAATACCACACCCTTCAACCTGATCAGTTGAAGCAAGGGGCGTGCTAAATTCAAATGTGTCGTTTACAACATTAAAAGTGTAAATATTCAGCACATTTGATAAATGCCGACAGATCGCAACGGCTTAACAATTGAGTAGAGCGTTTTTATCTATAAATTCAAAATAGTCTTATATGCTTTCACCTAGTTTTATTTAATCTCACTCAATTGCTACTGTGTAGAGGCACGATCCACTCCAAGCCCATGGAGTGCCCGGTGGTTACTCAAGTTTTTTTTAATTCGTGTTGATCTCTTTTCTTGTAAACGACAGAACTGCTCTACATTTATGTAGAGTGCAGGTGCGATCGTTATTCGCTTTGTTAAAGTTGAAGGTTTTTTTCCGTGGTTTTGATTTGAAGGTAGGTTTTTACTCCAAAATAGATGATTTATAAATGTAAATTATTTAGAATAAGTTTTATATTTATGAATAGTATATCTAGCTTGAATTTATAAAAAAAAAGAAAAAAAAATGAGTCATCAACCAAATCCTGAAGGTGCAGGAGGTAAATACATTTGTTAAAATGTGTTAACAATTTGTTAAATTTGCATTTATGTTTCCGTAGCGTCCAAGAGGGTAAGTTCTGCGTCGTCCGGGTTGACGCAAGAAGTGAAAAGAGTTAGAATCGGTAGGTTAGGTTCTGCTCCAGCAAAACAAGACATTGCTACAACTGTAAGTGTTATTTAATTGCTTCCATAAAATAAGATCGATGAATTTTTGTCGTAACCTTTTATTCATCATAATTACTCAAATATGGTTAACTTAATTCAATCATGAAAGGGACCAAAAATCGAGTTAGCTAAAACCAACGTTGAGCCGCATTGTTCAAAAAACAGTGGTTAGTGAAATTCATTTAACTCTTTCAAAATAAGACTTTTTTGGGTTGACATGAAGATTATAAATGAATCAGGTGACGATGCCGCTTCGGAAACACAAGACACATTGCCAACATCATTCATTGATAGTAAGGGTGTTCGACGTCAACTATGCGTAACATGCCATAAAACAAGGGTCTCCATTAAGGGGCAAGAATGCGCACAGTGCAAAAAAGGGATGTAAGTATTTTTGTTATTTTTATTCCACCAGTAGATTCTAATATCTCTTCTCGTACCCAGAATATTCAACGTCTTTCCTGAGGAAGCGTCTATTGGAGACATCTGCTTCCCACAACCTGGAAAAAAGTACCTTGCAGTGCCAGCTCCAAAGAAAAAGAAGGATCTTATGTGGTCTCCGATATGCATCGTGGATGGTTGTAAGTCCTTCATACACACAGCCCCTGGTGATATGTGTGGACAATGCATAAAGGGAAAGTATGTTTTCTTATTTTGGGCTAATAGAAATTTTAAATATTAGTATTTAATTTGCTTAAATTTTCAAAGACGTATTAAGCACTTCCCAGAGATTCGAAAAGCTGGCGATGTCTGGGAGGACGAAGATGGCGCATACATAGCAGTATCCACAAATGGAAAACTTCAATTTTTTCCTAAATGCTCATCACAGGATTGTTCAACAAGGGTTGAAAAGGAAGGAAACGCTTGCCGGTGGTGTAAAGGAGGATTGTATGTCGATCTACATTTTTCACATTCAATTTACATTTATAGATGAATTGCTTTTTTCAGGATAAGAATCCATTTCCCACTTGACCCTGTGATAGGACAAATTTATATTGATGAAGAGACACAGACAAGACACATCTACGAGCCCAGTAAACAATGGAATATTCTCTGCGCATTTTGCGATAAATACGGCGTGGTCCAAGGGTTCTGTAGAGGACATGCACACGAAAAGTAAAAGTTCTATTGTTTTTAGCCATCTGTAATTTGACATTAACTGTGTCAACTGAATGCACAGGATATTAGCTCTTAAATTGTATAAGTTCGTGTCAAAATAAATTTTCTATTTACATCTGCAGTGGAATTGGAGTTCTTGAAGATGATGGTGCGGGAGTTTGGATAATGAAATTAATTTCACCGAGAAAGCATGACATAGGTGTATATGGAGGATATTCACAATTGCTAAATGCAAAACAAGCTGCCAAAAATCAAATTTGGCTGGATAAATGCACATCTCGGTAGAGTATAAAATCCCTAGTTTTCTAATTAATACCAAAATAAACTATACTATAAAAAAAACCTTGTTTCTTCCTAATGTAGCCACCTAATTCGTCAAGGCTTTGAACCAGATTTAGATACTGCTTTCTACCTTCATTTTGGTCCCTCAGAAAAAAAGCATCATCGTAAGTTTTATGCAAGAGACAAACTTGGGGCAGTTTGCACTTTCCATCGTCCTTCAAATAACACACTAACCCAAGAGGAGATGGAGGAAATTCATCTTGCCATAGTAAAGCACATGGACAAGCTACCAGACATCACCCTATATGGAATGAAGAAGATGGAATTCTGGAGAAAACGGCAAGATGTAAGTTCATCAATAATGAGATGTGTATTTGTAATATTCAAAGTATGAGAAATGTATGTAAATGTTTTATGTTTTGTTTAAAGTTCAAGGATGCATACATCAAGCGAAATATTCAAATCACTGAGGCCGATTACCAAGCCATAATTAAAGAAGTCGATGACGCTATTCGCAAAGGGGCTTGGGAGGCTATGCTGGAGCACGATCGACATGATGAGGAATTTAATGAAGAATCCCAATAACTCTCCTATTTAAATTAAATTACGGTTTTAAAGCATATGCATCTAATCTATGCGAGGTTTGTAAAGAAAAATGAATTTGTATTTACACAGGTTTTTTATCTCTATATTTTTGTCTCTATTTTTTCTCAATATTTAGTTTTCCTTTGTCCAATATATTGGTCCGACCAGTCTCGTCTACAGGATTGAGTGTTTCAAAAAGAATGTAGTCCGATCACCTTTTTGTTGGTAGGGGTGATTTCAAAAACAATGCCAACAACCAATGGCCCTTTTAAGGGCCACCATATTTTTGGGGGCCTCGAAAGCCGGGTCCGGCAGTAAAAGTATACCATTAAAGTGGTTTGCCACCCAACCCCTGGGTAACGCTAAGAGCTTTCGTGAAACTTTCAGTGGAGGAAGTGAGGGAAGGAGCAGAATAAGTTGTAACGCCCCCAATCTTTTTGTGGGGTTGCGTGTCCCTGAGTCACACCCACTTTCGCGGATGCCCCTTATTTTCTGACTTTTATGCAATAAATCGTAGATTATTTAGTTTAATTTAAAGGAAACTATAGAAATATTTATTTACATCATTACCGACTGATAAATAATGATTTATCTAATGCCTATTTTAATAACTATGTGGGAGAGCTAAACTAATTATATTTATATTTCCTAAAAGATAGTAATGTTCAGAAACTTATCCTATTTCCTAATATCTATCGGGAACCTTGATGGCTGTGAATAAATCCTTACTCCTCGGTGTCTCAACTACTTCTCCTCACGTATTCTCTCTTACACTATTTTATATACTCATAACTAAAATGATGCAATGTAATCCTTATGATGGAGTTACTCCGTCATTCTTAAATACATGTACAATGTTATCCTTATGATGGAGTTACTCGGTCATTCTTAAATGCATGTACAATGTTATCCTTATGATGGAGTTACTCGGTCATTCTTAAATGCATGTACAATGTTATCCTTATGATGGAGTTACTCGGTCATTCTTAAATGCATGTACAATGTTATCCTTATGATGGAGTTACTCGGTCATTCTTAAATGCATGTACAATGTTATCCTTATGATGGAGTTACTCGGTCATTCTTAAATGCATGTACAATGTTATCCTTATGGATAATTAATCACTCATAATTAAATGTATGTAATATGGAAACTACATCTATGTATGAAATTCGAAAACCTTTGTAATATTGATGTACAGGCATCAATGTTACAAAAGGTTGCAAAGTAATATGCTCTGGCTGCATCCTGGCACACAGGGCGACAAGTTTAGACGATCGCCAGCAGAGATGAGGCTGTGTGTCACTTCAAAATGAGGCAGAGTGAGACTTTACGTTCTGCAAGGGCTGGCTGACCCTTCTTGTGACGTTTTTGAAGGGATAGCCGATCAGATGTAAATCATACTACGCATTTTAGTCCTCTATTTGAAGGGGTCACTCACGCTTTCCCTTGAAAGTTACGCAGTCACCTCCTCGTCACAAAGGCAGAATAGTTAACCCTTTTTCAAGCATGCATGCAAGTGTCCCTTCACTTCCTGATTGATCTTTCTTTATGCGATTATCCAGAGATTATCCGATTATCCGATTTTGTGAACGAGAAGATCTACGTCTTCCTCTGGTTCTGGTTTATCATTGTTGCTGCAATTTCTGGAGTGTCTCTCATATATCGGCTGCTGACCGTGTTTGGACCACAGGTACGAATGTATTTGCTCCGCGCAAAGTCTCGACTCTCAGAACCTCGTCAGATTGATGTCATTGCCCAGAAATGCCAGATTGGAGACTGGTTTGTACTTTACCAATTAGGGAAGAATATGGATCCCTTAATTTACCGTGAACTTATTCAAGACCTCGCCCAACGTCTACAAGGGCGTGACACGGTCTAAAAAGATAAAGTGCGTAGTGAGCAAACGTTTAAAGCAATCATCATCACCATCATGCATTCATTTCTCATGTGCCGCGTGCTTTTTCATCCCTGCCAAAAAACTTATTATCTATTCTCTCATGGACATCTTGACCATGGTTAAAATTTCATTCCAGACTAAACAAATTTTATAATTTTAAACTTTTCCCCTTCCCGACCTGTGGTTTTCCACAACAAAATAGCCAAGCCCCATTGATATCATGTTCCGCATTTTCTATTTATGTACACACAAAAGTTTTGTCTTTTCATGAGTCTCTCTCATGATGAAATTCGTCTCCTCTCCGCAGTCTTCTCGATTACAAACTGAGTCTGAGAACGTTTTGATAAGAACCACAGTGTGCAGTAGAATTGACTATTTACAGTGCCTTTAACGTAAATATTGGACTGGACAATGACAAATATTATCATCGACAGCTATGTAGCTACTACACACTTAACTACTTTTGGACATTGCAGCTCGATCGTGTTCAATAACTCGAATAATAATAATAAATATTAATTACTCCACATCACGCATATATTCCAAGCATGTAGTCGTATTTTTATAAAAGCGTCGCTTTTTATGTAAACGGCATTCGTAGAAGGGACCAATTAATAATAATTTAGTAAAATGCAAAAAAATGTGACAACTTGGACTGGGGAAATCTGAAACTTGTAGGTTTATTGTGCATTTATATTATGATGGCATTTGACATTTAACGATACGATAGATGGTAGTTTTAGTCAAGGAGATACTCCAAATCATATTGCTGTGTTTCATACAATAATAATAATTATTATAATTAGCTAAACCTTGTTACTTATTAAATATGTCGTCGTTGTTTGTTGAGTTATTATTTCATTTCTAGCGCATGCCTAGAAATAAGGTTAATCGTGAAGTTTTGTGTATTTAAGTGGTTTTCAAGTAGTGTAGCAGTCGGTGGCTTGGGCTTGGTGTGTGGTATGCAAATGAAACCATTATTTATGAGTAACCTGTTAAAGATATTACGAAAATTGCTGCCTGAATAGAAGTCTGGATTTAAATAGAGTGATTTTCCTTGTTGAAGTAAAAGATTCGATTATATTGAGTTTCAGCTACACATTATATAAATTACATCGTTGTTGCAATAGTTGTACATTATAAAGTATTTTGTTAAACATCATGTGAAAGGTGTTGAATACAATAAAATCAAAAAGTTACTTTCTACATACACCCAACTTTGTTCGACTTACTCAAATCTGTTTGCGTATTGCATCACGCCAAAATTCGGCATATCCATACACACTCATTCATTCAACCTAAATTCTTGGACGTAGACATCACTTGCCTTTCGGTAATTTCCACTTCTTCGCAACGGAATACATACACAAGTACAAATAATGTGAATCAGCAGAATGCTTGGTAATAACCAGTTAGTCACGTGTTGATTTCCACTTGTTGAGCCAGGAAGTGCATTTTTCCATCATTACCTGCATCGTCTACGTCACGTATATACATGATCATTAACTTCCTTTCATCCAGTCATGAAGCTCTTGACTCATATCATATCTCTCCGCAAAAAGGGTGCAGAATTTACTGGACAAAATATATTATCCTCATGACATAATTAAATGACGTCCATCATAAACTAGACAGGCACTCCAAATCTCATTTGCTTGGATGTCTAGTTTTTGCAATTTGTGATACATTTCAGCAGATAGTCACATTCTTACATCATATGCAGATGGCCAAAATGAAGGAGGTTTTGTCTATACATTTTTACATGCATTGCAAAATTCTCAAAAGCTATTTACATTTTCTTGTACAAATGTTGAGGAACAAACAATAAATGTCCTATATCCTGTTCAATAGACTGCATAAACTCTCCACAGTTGTTACACTGACAGCGACAATAATACTCCACAACGTTCGTTCTGTAAAAAATTTTGTTGCACAAAGAAAAACATATGGATACGGAAATATGAAGTATGATGCTTACATTTAGTGTAAAGAGAGATTAGGTTTGCATACTACATATGCTCATGTCATATATAATTCATACTTCTGCATAAATAATCCAACAAAATAACGACTCGAATTTCAAAATGAAAAATGCATACAAGGAAATTTCGGTGCAATAATAACAGTAATGATAGGTTTCAGGGAACACTAAAAGTTTTGCGTCACTGAAATTGAATACTTTTTACGATCTCTCTCTCTAGCTGGAATTAAATATTTATATATAGACAGTGGGGCTAACAATAGTTGGCTGCTTGCATTTATCACTGCCAGAGATTTTATCTCTGTTACACAAAACCTTCAAACTGATCAAGTAATTACAACAATAACCGCTAATTTTTTCACCGCATCCACCGAAATGTATTTATCACGAATCCACTTATTACTCCAACTCGATTTTAACAGCAGATTCATATATACGTTCATGTGACAATGATGTGCAAATTACGGTCGAATGACGAATTCATGTGTGTTTGTATGTAATAAGATGTAAAGTAATAGATAAGGAGGATCCTTTCGATGGCACACGTTGAAAAGATGCTAATGGAGAAGAGTTGGCATGCTCGCCCATTCTATTCTTTTGTAATAATCTAATAATAAATCTGCACGGCAAATTATAATTCAATAACTTGGTGGTTGGTATCCCTCTCTTCCATTTTTTGAAGCTCACTAGATTCTGTGAGCAATAAGTTTGGCTGAAATGGGATCTCGTCTTCTCAATAAAAGTATCTTCTTACATACGTTCAAACGGACTGTATCTCTTTTGCTTGTGTACCCAATTCGAGTAAAGTATTCTTTAAAATTAATATCTGCGCAGAGTGGATCGACTATAAACCAGTCGTAAATTTTTCTATATTCATTCTCTCGATCAATGTGCATACAAGAAAACTTGCTAGGATAATCAACACATCGTTTTATGACCATGCATTTAAATGCAAACCATCATAATTCGCAACTGTCTCGATGAAGTACATATCCTAATAATTATTGGTGCCCCTGTTTTTAAGGATGTTTGTACAGGCTCAAACAATTGGTGGGGTGGAACCATGTCTTTAAATGCTCATCTATCTTGATTATTAGAATGAATATATTATAAAAATGTTCAGTCCAACACTTGGCATTAGTGAACTTGAGTTGGAAAAGAAGATTGAAAAGAAAGGTTTGTGAGCAAAAAGGTTTTATTTTTATGTGTTAGCGAATCATCCTTGTTAATGAGTAGGTGGGGTTGTTCCAGGTCCCAGCCTATCTTCTCTGGCTGAAATGAAATAGTACGAGCGAATGCGTATATGCAAGTATATATATGTATGTATATTCGACTGATGTGTGACTGTCATGACCCGACGAGAGTAATTTATTTGCGTTCAGTTTCACTATTTAACAACGTGAGTGCATATTGCCACGTCTCAAGTCAAACAGAGGTTGACATTTGTCAACTTGACAATTATTAATTGCACTCTTTTCTACAACGTGGAGTTTACATGCATGATGATTGCTATCAACCGATGAGTTTTTTATATTTTGTTAAATTTATTACAAAGTGAAAAGTTATCTTGCCAATAAATACTTGTTGATTTTTAGTCTTTAAGCAGTGATGCAATGAAGGATGAGATAATGCATAATATGTAACTCCGTATATGGAATTAGGGCAGTTTACCACCGATGAAGGTTTAAGTGTATACCTGCGGCAATTGGCGATAATGATGACGAGGTGGTAAGTCTGGAGTATGGATAACTCATCATGAGGTTCATGATAAAGCGGGTAGACATTTTTTTATGCTGGTGGTCACATAATTATTGAGAGTGTGTTGCCGAATTTCACAGGAGACTCACGCACACATGCATTTAAAAAAAATCTTTGACAAACATTAAATCATCCTGCTTGCAATTCAGAACAAGGTAATGCAGCAGCCGAACTGATAAGTTGTGTATAAAGCTTATTGTCAATGCAGGAACTGGAGGATTGACCATCCTTCATCAGTATTCGTAGCATTTATCTGACGAAACTGGGTCCACATAAATCGCTTTGATGATACGTCAATCATGATAAGAACTCATCTAAAGATAATGATGCACCAGCGTACTGACATTTTATTCTTTTCACCCAGCTTCAATTGTGGCGTTTCGGTTGTGCGTGTGTAATACTACTGGCCAAATTCCCTTTTGCATCAGCTTCAAAGCTGTCCTTGCTTCAGAAATAGAAATAAGTGCAATTTTTTGCCGGATACATAATTTGTTAAATAATTCTTAAATCATGTCCACCACCACAGACTTTTTGAAAGTTTTTGACAAAGTCAAACAGTTTAAAATAGATCCAGACAAAATTTATATTGAAGACTCAATTTTTAGACTATTTTCGAAGCTTTCTGTGGCAATCCTTCTCATTGGTGCCAGTTTGGTAACGCTGTCCTCGGTTGTGGGTAAGCCATAAGAAATTAACAGGGTGATGTATGTATATATGCATGCATAACCTCAGACCAAGGGACACGTATCTAGAAATGTAAGTACGTCTAATGTAAAAACCGTTTATGGAAACAGGAGACAAGATTAAGTGCATTCTTCCACCCAAAGAAGATGTCACTTCAAATCCCTTGAATCAATATTGCTTCATCATGAGCACATACACGGTGCCAAGCTTGTGAGTAAAACGCTAATCTCAGGAATTTATTACCAAGTTAATTTGACGACTAACGACTTTCGAATTTATTGATCAATTTGATAGATTTAACGCAACAGTTGGAAAAGACGTTCCTCATTATGGAGGTAAATAAATGATTCCTCATATGCACGTTGTGAAAATATTGGCGACGTCTCATACTAACGTAAATTGTTAACTAAACCCAAAGTTGGACCAGCGAGTTCTGAAGAACCCAAGCACTTTCATCTGTATTACCAATGGGTCCCAATTGCATTGTTCTTCCAAGCATTGTCCTTCCTAATTCCCCATCTTTTGTGGAAAATGTTTGACGGCCAAAAAATTAAGACAATTTGTGACCTGAATGTTGCGTCCAACATCAAATTCAAGGTATTACAAACGACAGGAATTCATATGAAACAGTAAAGCACAGCCGTACGTGTTTTGAATTACAGCAAAGAGGACTCGTTGAGGAAAAGGATACTGATACGAAGCTGAAAGCAATCAATAAGGCTGCAGTTTATTTCGTTGGCCATATTTCATACAACAAATCTTATGCAATTTGGTTCATTGTGTGCGAAGTTCTCAACCTGGTTATGGTCCTTCTCAACTTTTGGTTCACAAATTTTTTTCTTTCCAATCAATTTTACAATTATGGACCCCGGGTGGTTAATTTTTTGAACGGAGATCCAGATTCCGAGCTTAATCCAATGAATCAAGTTTTCCCTAAAGTAGCAAAATGCGACTTTCACAAATACGGGCCTTCAGGAAACCTCATCAGGTATATATGTTTTGCATATGTCGTGAATTCCTAATTTGTGAAAATAAGTCTAAAACTGTGGCTTCCAGATACGACATAATGTGCGTCCTCGCCCTGAATATCATAGCAGAAAAGATTTACTTGTTCTTGTGGTAAGTAATTCTTTCATTTCAGCAATGATGACGATAATATGAATTTTTTATATGGTATCGGGACCTGGCAAACGAGAAGAACAATTCATTAAAATTAATGGAGGGTTGTGACTTGCTCTCGCAACCTTCGTGTGCAGGCGATAGAAATGTTTTAGAAACATTCCTAACTTTAATGTGTCTCACTTTTTGCAAGCATATAACATTCCGTCGTCGCAGTCGTAAGTTGTCGCGGCGGTGCTTGGTGGCATCTTCTTGATGTTCGCCACACTCGTGAACTTGTGTCTCATCGATACTTACCATAAACGTAAATAATTGAAACATAAAGAAGCCAAGAACGGTTCCAGCAGCAACAAAGTCAAACAAATGTTGACAGTTAAAAAAAGAGAATGAGTTGGATCCTCCCCCGCCACTAACATACCGACGACGGAACATATTTCTTCTTTCGGTGCGTACATACGACTTTCCCATTACGGCAAATGTCACCTTCTTCAGCATTTGAGTTCACCAATTCACGAGCACGTCTCAAGATTTCCATTAGCTAGCACAGTCAACACACCAATGTGCATCCCGTTACAGCTCAGATTAGATTGTGGCCACATGGGGATGTCTGATAATTAGAGTGAGAATCTCTAAAAGAAATGCTGCAAAAGTGACAAAATTGGCAGAATTAAAGGTGAAGAGCGCAAATAGACGTATGGAACAAAATGAGACATATTTATTCCTCAGAAACCGTTAAATGCCCTGTGCTAGAGAGACTTTTGTCAAAATGGTATTCTTCCACTCGCTCTGTAGAAATTGCATTAATGTTTTAGAGGATCAATGTAAAAATTAAATGACAAAGTTAAAGGTGATTTTTTAATTATTTCATACAGGTTTTGGTTTGTCATTTTGATCATCATCGGTGGACTGCAGCTTATCTACCGTTTAGTGCTTGTCCTTCTTCCAGGACTTCGAAACAACATTCTCAAGCACAAAGTGGCCAAAAAATATCAGCATTCAATGGTAGAAGTACTTGAACAAACTGGGTACGCAGAATGGTTCCTGCTCAAACTTTTGTCAGTAAACATTGACACTTGGAAATTTGGAGAATTGTGTGAGCACATAAAAACTGTCCTCTACGAGCGCACTCCGAATGGAAGAATTGCCTCTGTGAGTCCAGCCCCAAGCTACAAAAAAAGTGTAAATGGTTCAGATGACGATGAGCCATTCACTACGAAACCGTTGATTAATAGTTAAAAAATTACACTAGAAAACGACACTTACATATTTATCGTACTTAAATGACTACTTTGTACACCATGCTATTATCTACATAAGCTTACACATATGTATTCATTTTGTTCTAGTTATTTTGTCCGAAATAATTGAATTAAACCGTTACAGGAAAATGTGGAAAACCTCCAAAACCACTTTTTTTTACTATTCATGCATGTGCTTCTTCTTTTTTGTGTTAATACTATAGATTATGTACCCAATAAAGCCAATTTGAGTGGTAAACATATTTTAGTAGTTACGTATATACTTACTCGAAATTACATGAAATTTTCAGCTACGAATAAATACAGTTTAGTGCACATTATGAGAGTCCATTAAAATATATCCAACTCATTTGTTTATTTACCATACTGAGCAGATTTTAATGAAAGGCGTTGGAACAACATTAGAAACTAATTAAAACGTCATTATTCCTGGATGTGAAGTGGGCTTGCTTTAAAACTTCAGTAATAATAATACTACTAATCCTGATTAGTGGTGTCATGAGAATGAATTCAGAAGGCTACAAATCTGGACTTGTGTTTCGTATTCAAACCAAAATTGCCTTGAGATTACTTGAGCAAATAACATTCACTGCGTATCCCCGTGATGTGAAGCAAAGTTGAGTGAGGAGATTAATAAAAGAGAGAAATTCCACATGCTGCACATGGCGAAGAGATTCCTCGTCTCACTTTGCTCACTTGTTGCTTCTGTATAAAGTCCGTCTCATTCTCTCCGTGCGTCCTCCTATATCTCATGAGCCACACTTGCCGCACCACCACCACGACCAACTGCTGAATACTGCATCACGAGACGACGGGATTATTACTTCATCTCCAATCTGGGATCTACACTCACTTACACAAGCAATTTAACTACTACTTTATATCAACGTTTACTAGCTACCATTCATTTCATTAACCACATTTGGTTGGTGACTGGGTGAGTCGCTAATAATCTATTTGCACAGACTGAGGGAGACGAGGTCACATTATTATTCATTCTGACACATGGCTTGTTCGGAAAAGTTGTCGAGTTGGATTAAAAGAGGACTTGCATATTATCACTGAAATACTTAACTCGTCTTGTATATTTTTGAGAAATTAATCTTCATCATGCTACCACGCGTATAGTATGTAAGCAGGTACATGGATGAATATACGGTACATATTTACAAATCTATCCAAGATACACATATTCACATTTTTCATGCATTTTTCTCACTCTGGCCGTCTCGCCCTCCTCCCAAAGTATTTGCAATACTCGTCCTTGTTTCGAGAAAATGGAAAGAAAGTTGACAAACTTGATGTGAAGATACAAACAAGTTGTTTACTTAACCAACGTGAACCTTCTTCCAATGAAATATCCATCAGCTCCGTGTCCTAGTACTGCTTTATTTTATGTCGTTTTTACAGCGTTGTTAACCAAACTGCCAACTGCGTGCAATGTAACAGGCAAAATTCAGCAAAATATATTGTCATTATTCCCCCAGGATTTACATAGAGTGATATTTTTCGTAGGTGATAAAAAGGCACTCCAACTCCATGTAATTTAAATAGATGTCTGCAATTTGCACGTGAATATATTAAGCGCTTGCATGAAACAGTTCTTCAAGTTGCTGCCTAGACCAATAATCAATTTATTATCGTAATAATATGATTGAAAAGTGTTGGAAGATACCTTCTCGCCTTGCTCGCTATTCTCGAGACCTTTTGTTGGTAGACAGGGTGCAATTAAACACCTTCTTTAAAATGAAGGCAGTACATCGGGGACCGGCCTACCCATCCTTCTTTATTTAACGACACGATTAAAAAATCAAGCAAATCAGCCTTATCATCATCTTGGATGTGGGAATGACCTGTGCTAGAAGATGGACGAGATTAAAGGTATACCAAGTCCAACTAAATAGCTCCTGTTTGATTCTCATGGAGAGGATGTAGGTAGAGTCACATAGGACGACTCACACTGTAATCGAGACGAGAGGGGATATTTCATCCACACGCCCAACAGTTAACGTCAATGGGAAGAAAGCTCTTAGGATTAGTTTGGCTCTCACCTACGCCAACAATGGGCTTTTCTAACCTGTGGTATGCTTCGTCTACCTGTGCTGTCTCTCGCCGGGATTTAAACTCATGCAGGAAACAGGATTCACTTTATAGAGTGGTGTTAATACATTCAAGCCTTCGTTTTATTAATGTGCTCATCATCCTCATGTATATATTGATGCTCGGGACATTCATACTGCCATTTTACACTAAAATTAAAAATATTTTATGACTGCAATTAAATGGTTTATAAAAATAGCTTTGCAGCCTATTTTAACCACCTAACAGTGACAGGAAGCCAAAGGTTTTCAATCTGAAACGGCTCATATTTGGACCCCCGTGACGTCGTGACATCCAATTTCGTTCCCTCCCTTTCCAGTCACACCAGGATTTCCAGGAAACTGTGCAAGCGTTTCTTAAAGGATGCAGTTATTGTAACGACGAATTGCATTATTCCCATTACCGTCTCCTCAAATACCAGTTTCATAGGTTTCTTGGATTCTCCTGACTCGTCACTTTTCGTACCAAGTAAACTTGGAATACTTTTCCCACACGGTGATACTGCATGTAATCCCGAGTACTACAACGTCTGCGAAGATGCCCGGAGGAGAATTCCATCACCCATGCAAAGGTCTCCCTCACTCCCGGTGCAGAACAACTCTACCCTTCGCACCTCCTACTTATCTTCCCTTCAAAATACCTTCCAAGATGCATTTTGTCCTAGGGGTTGCAACCCTCTCTCATTTCTCCTCCAAAGTCTGGCTACAGCTTGGCTGTGTCGCCTATTTGACAACGTCGGCAACCAACCAACCCTCTCCCACCCCACCAGCAGCAGCCGCATGAAGAGGACCTCCACAGTATACGGATGACATATGCAGCTGCTCTTATATTGCGTCAACCAGCAAAGCTAAATCGCCTGCATTGTAGCTAAAGCACTATAATAATAATAATATGAAACACTCTAGTTAAACATAATGCATAGCAGCATGTTGTGCTTACAGGGGTTGGTTGTCTTTTCCTCTTTCCTTGGTTAAAAGTCTGGCTTGGTGGGTGGAATATAATAGTCGACTACCAGAATTACAGAATTACATGGCAGTACAATATCAAGTTAAGTGCTGGTCCGTCCAATAATATCTCCTTATTACATTTCCACAAGATTCCATCACCACAAACCAGTGCAGTGTCTCTGAGGGAAGGATCGTAGCTCTTAGGCTACATACGTACAGAAGAAGAAGACGTCTCGAGCGAGAGGAGAGAATTTTAATTATTTCTTCTGCTGACAGACGACGACGAATAAAAAGAACAGCGAGGACAATATTGGAGAAAGTGTTTGGTTGGTGAAAGGACGTGGGGTGCGTCGAGACGTTCTTGTTGTGGTCGCGGAGCGGGTGTGAGTGAGAGGAAGGCTCACTTAAAAAAATCATTAATTTTGGGGGACTGATTAAAGTCGCTCTTGCGTTTTTGTGTGTTTATTGTGTTAATTGTTCCCACGTGATCAGTCACCACCGTCAAGATGTATAATTTACTCTCTGGGTTGAAGGACTACTTCAAGCGACAGGAGATTATTATTGACAATCCGATTTTTCGGATTCATTGTACCTTCACCACCGTTTTGCTAATTACATTTTCAATGATCATCACATGGACACAATTTGTTGGACAGCCGATTCGATGCATTGTGGAAGGAGTACCGACTCATGTGGTCAACACATATTGCTGGATTATGACCACGTTCACCATGCCAGGTAAGTTCAGAGCTAGTTTCTTGGAGTGTGTGACAAGAGGGTTGATTTCGGAGTGAGTTTTGTACCCGGATTTTCCTCGGTTCGGTATTTTGCATGAGCATGAAGACAAAGTCTTGAGAATCCGAAAAAAGTACTATAGCTGGCAGGTTATTATGCACTACGTTATTTTCTTGTGCTATTGTAGAATTGGTCCACTTTATTGTTGTCCAAATATTTTTTTTTTGAGAGGGCCTACACAGCCCAATATAAAATGCAATTATACAGCAATAAAAGGGTGAATTTCGTACAGTTAAAAATAAATTGTAATCTTATTTTAGATGCTTTCCAACGACCATTACACAGCGTTGCTCATCCTGGTGTGGCCCAAAACTTTGAAGATGACGAGGGGAAGCAGAAGCACTACACATATTATCAGTGGGTATGTGTGGTGGATAGATTAGGTTTCAAGGGCTAAAACAACAATTAATTGTATTAACAAATACTTAATGTATAGGTGTGTTTCGTCCTGTTTTTCCAAGCGTTACTCTGTTATTTTCCAAAGTGGTTGGTAAGTTTGCCAATACATAACATATTTTGGTTGGGAAGTTTGGGTCAATATAACACAAAATACTGCTTTGGAAACTTGGGAACATCAATTATTTAATTATCAATTAATCCCATTATTTAAATTAGTGGGAAACTTGGGAACATCAATTAATGAGGTGATGTTTTGTTTTGATTAAAATAAGAATTAGTTCAATTTTATTTACTAATTTTTATAACTTACACAGCACGATCGTGTGTGGACTCAACATTGGTCTCCGTTCTGAAGATGAGAAAACTCAAAAGAAATCCATCTTGATCGATTATCTAATCCGTCATTTGAATGTAAGCCAATTTTTAGATAATGGTCCAGTTGATTGTAAATATGTAGTTGTTTTGCTAACATTTCCGTTTATCTTGATTTACAGCAACACAACATGTATGCCTTCCGGTACTGGTTTTGTGAAGTTTTGTGCTTTGTTAATGTAAGTTATCTCAGTTTTCTTTTTTATAATCATTATCATGTAGTAATTAAATTTGTGGATATAGTTATAATATAATTGTGTTATTTATCAGGTCATTTTCCAAATGTTCGTAATGGATTGGTAAGAAAAGATCCTTGATTTGAATCAGACAAGAATATCGTCGTTTGCATATTTACTAGTAAGTAATAACTTGGGTTTCCATAGGTTCTTCAAAGGAGATTTCATGTCGTATGGGTTAAATGTTCTCACATTTGACGATATTGACCAGGATCAACGATATGACCACATGGTGTTCGTGTTTCCACGTGTGACAAAGTGTACCTTCAGAAAGTGAGTTGATTTTGCTTACCTAGCTTGATAACTGTAATATCATATTTTTAATCATTCCTTAAATAGGTACGGTCCTTCTGCAACAATAGAGAAACATGGTAAGTTGTACATTTAAGTGTGTGTAATTGCATATTTACAACACACTAATCATATTTTTTTGTATAGATGCCATCTGTATTTTGCCGCTTAATATTGTCAATGAGAAGACTTACATATTCCTTTGGTTCTGGTTCATAATTCTTGCCATCCTGTGTGCCATCGTCCTTGTGTTCCGATTCATCATGATCATTACTCCGTCACTTCGTCCAAAGCTGATGCACGCACGTAATCGAATGGTACCACAAGAGGCAGTTGAGTCAGTTTCACGCAAAGTGAGCATCGGAGATTGGTGGGTCTTGTACATGTTGGGCCGCAACATTGATCCTCAAATCTATCGCGACGTGATTGTCGAATTTTCAAAAAAGAATGAGACAGCGCACTCCAACAACCCTAAAATACATTAACGGATTGTAGCTTTAGTTCAGTGGTTATCATCATCATCACTGGAACTGATACTCGCTCGTACATGGATACATGGAAAGAAACATCGAGTTTGCATTTCAAGTAGAGTTTGCATTTTTTTGCATCTGAGTTGATGATGTTTTGTTTTTTGTTATATCGTTTGTTGTTAGTAGTAGATTTCTCTCGTGTGTTTATGTTAAAATTGGTTTAATCTTATGCCTCGTAGCGCGTACACCACCACCACTATTATTACTGCATTGTTTAAAGAGTTGTTCATGTTAGTTTATTTTGTTATCTTCTAATTTGTTTGGAAATTTCAATCGCAAGTTCCAGCATAGTGTTCCAGCAAAGGAGTTGTCTGGTCTCCAATGTTCATAAACATAAGTTCTAGTTTAGTTTACTTATTTAAGGTGTGATGGTTTTCCTTGCGTAATATTTATACTCGATAAGTTGTATTTGATACATATTCATTATCTGCATTGTTAGTACATAATAATGAAGTCTGCATTTATGCTGCCACTAAACTGTCAAATATATTATGTATACATATATGTATATATCAGTCTACTTTACAGATTCGAGGTTAAACTGTGTTAATACGTTTTGTTATTATTCGTTACAAAAAAATGGACTAATAGTTAAGTTTAATGATACCGAAAATGCAATATATTTATAAATAATATCAGCGAATGAAATTGTGACTTATTACTCGAAAGATGATAATTTTACGTACATAAGTTTTAAAGGAACATTTTACTAAGGAGAGCAAGCATGTTGCAGACGAATCTGTCTTCCCATAAAAATATCGATATTTTGGGAGTGAATTTCATTACCAAGAAATCTAACTTAATCAACATCTACATATTTGTGTATGCAGCTGATAGTTTTTGTAAAAAGATGTACTAATCAGTAGGATGTTATATATTTAATATACAATCTGAAAACCATTAAAGCTATTTTAAGAAAAAAAAACTACAGTTTCAGTCAATCTATTGAATTTATTCGATTTATCTACAGTAGAAGAACATACGTACAATCTTGCGTTCATTTAGAATTTTAAAAACGTGTCAGAAGATTTCATTTAAACTTTGTCCAAACATTATTTCACAGATAATGAAAAAGAACTGGCTTCTCGTAGACTGAGACGGTGGAATTAGAGTGACAACAACAGTGAAATGCTTGGTGGTAGTTGGATGCACGAACCACGTATTTTTAGACTTTGACGATTTTCACTTGTAAAAATAGGCAAGTCTATACTTCTTTTATAACTCTAGCTACATCAGACACAAAAAAAGATTTACTCTCTCCATCGCACTATATATATTGTTTAACGATCAAAAACAGAAGACAATAAAAATCTTTAATTACATTCACTCTTGAATCTCACTTTGACCTGCCTGTAGCATTTTTTATTTAGACTGGTATTAAAAATCAGACACAATAAGAGACGATAAATGACGAGAAATCCATCAAGTATAGTCAGACTATACATATGTACATCGATATGCACACATTTCCAGCAAATGACTGATTTATTTGCCTGTAATCCCGAAGAGAGTCAATAACAGCTTGTAAAATTTTAGGTTAATTGTTTCCACTTTTGTAATACATTTTTGTTTGTGTAACAAAACCTATTCAACAAGCCATTATACTTCATCTACTGGGCATGGATTTCGCATTTAAGTGTTCTTCTGATTTAAGCAAAATATGCGTATGCATATAGGTGCTCTTCATTCGCTTATTCCTTAGTTCAACTTCACAAGAATCAAGCGTGTATGATAAAATTATAGTTACATGAAATATGACCAAACAATTTTAATACATTTACACACACAAAGTAAGCAGTTAAAATTCACTCTAATCCTAGACCAATTTTCTCTTACGACAAGCAATTAATTATGATACGAACCTCAACTTCCGGTTGTCTCTTCAGATCAGGAAAAGGAATAAAGGTAAATTGTTCCAAGTTGTACTCTGATCTGATCGTCATCTCCTCCAGCTATCACCAGTTGTTTTAAAAGCCGCAAATTATGATGAATGAGTGCACATTTAACAGCTCATGGAGAGATACTTTCCATCACTCCCTTCCACACACCGTGATTCCACCACAACGTGCACATGCAATTTAAATGTACGAATCTCAATCTCTGACAACAATCCCGACAACTCGCTGCGAGAGAGAGTCATGCGAGATTACAGAGATTTGATAACACTTTTACTCTCGTTCGTGTCGCAAGTGATGATGATATTAAATTTGTGTGAGCGGCTGATGAAGTGGATGACTGGTTTGCATTCCTACGATTTAGAAAAATAATTGGACAGAATGGGTTGCTCTGATTTAACAAGGAGAAAAGCCGGAAGAGCTAAAAGGTGAATTAATGAGAGGAAGATCGCTTGACGTTAAAAATGATGAAATATAGCCACACTTGCCTCCTGTTATATTTTATGATGATCTCCTTAAGAAATCAAAGACAAATGTGTGTGTGCATCACAGACTCAATACATCAAGGAATGAAAACATGCACCCATTTCTCATCCTTTGCTTGAAAGGAGAGATTCAGACGATGAGTACAAACATGAGATTTAATAACTCTTATAAAGTTGCATCATTGTTCATATTTAAAAATTTTAGTCGCCTCAAAGACTCAAAGACTATGGGCATTAAAATTAACCAATACAGTAAAATATTAAAAATTAACTCCAACAAATTTAGTTTTAGGAAGCCTAAATTTCACTAATGAACTTTAGCTTTGGATCAACTCGTTTTTTTCGAGGTGATTTTCTATCGAGGCAATTTCCTGTTTGCCAGAGAAATGCAATGAAATCCTAGCTTGCATGGGTTGCATGGCTGATGGTGGTGAAGGTGGCGTGAAGTGGACTAAAACGAAGAAGGATAATGATTGAGCTTGGGAAGTTATATGCGGAAAGATAAACGGTCATAAGAGGAAAGTACGGATAATTTAAGACTATGTGATCTCGTTTTGTTTGCAACAATTTCTGCTGTGTTGGGAATTTACTTTGGCTAATTTGGGATGACAAGAAGCGCATGGATGGTGGTGTGTATAGTTAGTGTGTAGGTTGGCGTGGCGGATAAGTTTCTCTGAACGACGTAACCTCGTTGTGTAGTTTGAAATAGGAGTAGGAGAAACTTGAAAGCTCTTATCACTTTCGTTAAATAATACCCCAAGAATTAGTCGTTGTGCTGGTGGCTCGGAAGGAAGGAGCAGAAGAACGCAACCCAGGGTGAGACCAGATCCCGGGTATCCATCCACTGCTGACTGACTCCGAGAAATGGGCACGCTGCGGATGATCATGAGTCTCTGAGACCAGTCGTCTTCCCAAGCTGGTGGGATTCAAATCCTGTGAAGGAAAAGTGCATCCGCTCAATCTCAGAAGCCGCTTGCTTGCACATAACTCTTTCCGAGCAATAATGCTCTTTTGCTCCTGTTGCATGTGGATCTCAAGTCGCATGGCTAAATAATAAGTCCAAGGAGAAAAGGGGAGACGTCTTTGTTCACATTACACCACTGCCTTTTATCTTGTCACTACTATAAGACTGCTGCCATGTGTTCAACACTTATCGTGACCATTATGTGCCCCTGCACGCTTTCCCCAGAGTTCCACCACTTCCAGTGCCTCTAAACTCCATCCTGATTCATTCATAATGGATGCAAACTGCTCCTGTTTTCTCAAGAAAATTAAAACGCTCTTTACAAAAACTCATGACTCTGTAATCTTTATCATCCCAAAATCCTCTGCTTGGGACCAATTCCATTTTGCAGAAGCAAGGACTCCTGATTGCCTTACTTTCAATCAGACTGATTTAAAAGTTTTGGATTGTGTTCATAAATCCCATGTGTGTTCACCAGATTTAATATCACACTTTCTAAGTTCTCTCAGAAATTCAGATTTTAGTCCGAAGCAAGTTCTTGAGGTGGCAATTCCTATTTTCCAACGGCTACAAGTATTATCGTCGTCTGTATGCATAGCTGTCTCCTATTGTATTTAAATAATTTGAGTGATTAATTTGACGCCGTTTTATATTTCTCATTGAAAAAGTTCTCATTATACATGTGTCGTGACAAAAATAAAATACAAATCAATTAAAATTAGGATAATGGAGGCTGGTGAAAGCACTGGTGCTGTGTCTTTGGTGCGATGATGCGACAGTGCAACACTACTTGCGAGAGCAATTGTTTGACATAGGTCGCTAATATGTGAAAGTGGTAAAATGTTGGATATATTTAGGGGGCTCAAGAACTTGGTGAAGGTAAGAATTTGTCAGCTTTTTTATTAGCTAACTGACGGTTATAATTGAATTCGGCCGTGTCATAGGGCTTGAGATGATTTGATGTCTATGTCAGAATTTTACAGAGCTGCACATTAAAACCTTTATCAATAGAGGTGAAGTCAGTCAAGCCACTTCTATTGATTCTCAGTGCTACTGAACTTTTTTTACCTAATTCTGGGCTTAATACCAGTTGTGATGAAGAATACTTTATACATTATTATATTAATATAGCTTTTCGTGGACTGAATTGAAAGCCAATTTTATTTATTGATGGAAAGATAATTTCGTCTTTCTTCATCACTTGTGATCCGAAGTTATTTTTGAAATTTAAATTAGGTTTAAAACTGGCTAAGTCACACTGCGGTAATGGCCCAATGATTGCTTTAGTGGAACTTTCACCAATAGTACACAAAAAATATTGCAAGTGTTTTTGTGTGGTTTAAAATCTCATTTGAAGAACTGTGACCATTATGGTCGAGGAATTATAATTAAAGACATTTTTGCATAAGAAATGCATGTAAAAATGTTTTTAATTTTAATGCCTCGACCATAATTTAATCCGATCGCACGGTCCTCCACGTACAAGTAGTTTTTTTGTTAAGACATCCCTTTGACAAACCTAGTCTTCATGCATCGGTACGAGTGGTGACGTAATCCCTCACGTCTCAGTCTTTAACTTTATTGGTCGTTTTAGAATAATGCAGTCGTGTGGTGCATATGATTAGATCAGAAATTTTAAATTTCTCTAAACACTTTATGCTTATAAATATTTGCAGGTGAGCCATGTTCGAATTGATTCCTCGATTTTTCGGCTTCATTACAGGTAATGTATAATAATATTGTTTGAAAACGCAAAAATTGACTCTGAGCTAATAACTTTTATTAATTTTTACAGCCTCACTGTGATGATCCTTCTTGCTTTCTCCCTCATTGTCACCACACGACAGTATGTTGGGAACCCAATTGATTGTATCCATACCAAGGTATATCTAATTCTACGGATTTATGTAACTTTATATTTGCATACTTAAGTATATATTTATTCTTTATCCATCCCAAGGATATTCCGGAAGGTAAGTGGAGAAATGTCACATTACGAATACTACGAAAGCTCTTCATCTACATTTATCATCCTAATATATTTCAGATGTTCTCAATACTTACTGCTGGATTATGCATACGTACGTTGCCCAATGATTCTGTTCTTACTTGGCAGAAGCAAGCTTTCAATTTGTTGCATTGGCTTTTGCAGATATCTGGTTAAAAGTGCCTTCCTGAAGAGAGTGGGGAAGGAAGTCATGCACTTTGGCATAGACCAGTCACCTACAGACGAGTCAGATATGAAAGTATACAAATATTATCAGTGGTACGTGTGAGCGTCGTACAAGTACAGTCTACTCTTCTTGTAGGGTTAAACTTATAATTGTATGTCGTGTACTTTTTCAGGGTCTGCTTCTGCTTGTTTTTTCAGGTGAGAATTAATTTCCGTCCTGTAATATCACATCAAAATTTGGCTATGTCGAGCTAAAAATTAACGCTTAATGCCGCATCCAAAAAAATCTTGTGCAAACATTGAATCTTTTAAATCAATTTAAAAATGTGAGGTACATACATACATTGAATTTCTCAGCACCACGCATTCTCATGCACTCTCTTTCGACAACCGACTTCCTGGCGGTGACAAGTCGGAATTTTAATCGAGTGAATTTGAGTGAAAGTTTTTGACCGGCCCCCAACAACGAAATCCAACATCCGGCTGAACTAGTAAAACCAATCTCACTGAGTTATTTTAATTCAGTGATAAAAAACCAGTTGTGAAAACAAAGTCGACGCCATCGTACACTTTGGTTAAACATCAAATTTCACGTAAATGTTACGATTATAACATAATTACAACATCACAAGCCATAAGAACCTCCACATTATTAGATCAGCAATGTCGGTTATTTAGCGTTTTAGTTCAAAGCCAGAGTTCTCATATTCTGCCTCATAGTCTGTGTCAATTGTACATATCAGCATGAGCACGATGAGGTTGTTTATGTGTGTGCAGATTCTGGGAACATTACCAAAACCCATTTAATTCAATGCAGATTGCAACAGCTATAGTGCTATGCAACTCGTGCATTCTCACTCGATTTTGATACTGGATTTTTTAAAGCTTCTGTGCAAAATCCTTGAGCGTATAAAGAATTGAGCAAGATTGATATTACAAAGTTCATATTCCTGTCAATTTAGACTAAAATATATTATAAAAATAAAATACAACTTCCTACAATGAGCGAGTTAGATGCGTTGTGATTGCGACATTCATTTGTGTCGCACATTGGCTAGGTAAAATAAAGTCGTGATATAAAGAGCATCCCTTAGATTTGCCCACTCGTCCCATTCCGTCATGGTTGCATGGGAAATTGGCTGCCGACAGCGGTTTAAATGAACCCAAATAACTTATTAGCAGCAAGATAATGAACTGATTAGGGTTTACAAGAGCTTTTTAGCGAGATGGTTCTTGCATATTTTTTCTGAATGTTCATATTTAGTTTGTATCACTTTTATTTGGGTTTGGCTTTGGCCCCCTTACGTACCACCACCACGCGGACGGAGAGAAAGTCGGCCGAATGGTGATGATGATAAATAAACCTTTTCTTTTAATGACGCACACTCACTCAGTCAGTCAGCCAGTTAGTCAGTGGTGTTATTTTTTCCAGGCCTACTATGTACCAGCCGAATATGTGAACATTGCATAAGTAAAGGAATATCCATACGTTCGAAACCTTGTAGGTCGAGCGGACGAAAGCAGCGACTCATGAGTCTAGCGTTACAGCAGGTTCGCAACTGTTGGTGCTGAGGGGGTGCTTGCTGTTGCTAATTCTAATGTTAAATCGTCCTCTGTATGTGTTTGTGTGTGTAATGATGAGGTATTATAGTTAACGGAGTGAATCAACAGGGCCAAGAACCGGGCATTTGCAGTTTTGCATGTGAGTATAGTTTCTTGGTAACTAATACTCACCCACCACCGGGATAGATTCATAAAACAACGTGCCATGTGGCTGGTCTGAGATGGAAAATAATACAGTGGATTACACGGCGACGACTGCTGGTGTGGCAGTGTATACATTGCAGTCGGTTATTAGGTTAGGTGGATGGAAATGTTTATTCGAAAGGAAAGCTCCTTGAGGTTTCTTTCTCGGTCTGCAAACGAACTCGGCCCAGTAGAATTTATGCATTCACACACATATAGGTCACAAGAGTTGGCTAACCTTAAGTTGGCAACAATCCATTCATATCTCATCTCCCCAGTGCTCACAATGTTGGGGAAAAAGTCTTGTTTTAAACGAGAGGGTATTATCTGTTCTTGAATCTTCGAAGTAAGTGGAACTTTTCAATGCTCAGAAGGATTTATATACCTTGTCGCTTCTTCCTCCTCCAGATATAACGTAACATGTAACACAATAACACAAACACACACACGTACTGATCCTTATGCAGTTAGAGTAATATAATGGCATGAAAATCTTGTTTCTCTCATGGATCCCATGTGTCGCCATCGGAATCTGGGTAAATCTATCGTCCTCTCAACTACTTTTGCTAATAGAATCGAAATCAGTACATAAATTATAATAGGTATGCTATCTGGCCCTCCAACAATTCTGCCATGCACGCCCAACAACAACAAAATCGAACGTTTTAACAATCCGTAGCCTTCTTGTCATTCTGACCAAGATTTTATTTTCATTGCTACAAGTACAATGTATGCATATGTACACATTTACATGCAGGCATGGAAAAGCAGACAAATAAAAATGGAGCTGAGAATACCAGGCTAGAATTACTGGGAAGGAAAGTCAGACTTAAACTTGACACTGCTTGAAACGAGGAAAGAATGTTTCAAGAAAACCATTATGTCTTTCGAAATTCTTTGGGCATCGCCTTATCACCGATTTCGCAAATAATTCAACCGAAACAAGAAATGCCATTTCTTTAATTCTTAACCAAACTACTACGATCGCTGAGTGATGCACATCCATTATTTTCTTTTGTAACCCATCCCAGCAGACTTTACGCTGAACACACCAAAATAATTATAACCAGCAGCAAAACGGAAGGACATGCGACTAACACGTAACACACAAATGTAGTAACCAGAATAAAGGAAGAGGTACGAACGTAGGACAATCCAGCCACCGTGGACAGGGAAGAAAAAGAGATAAATTTTCTCGCTTATCCGTAGCTACATACATAGTGTCATGCAGAGTAAAACTCTGCTTTTAACACGGCTATTAATAAATCAAGTAATTAAAGGGATTTCATGACATTTGCAAAGATACATACATGCACACTAGTGTTTTCTGACAGCGATTTTGCCATATAATCGCACGAAACATCAAAAAACATTGTTTATTCATCCTACAATGGATTACTTACAAAAATGAGCCATCATAAAATGAGCAGTTAGTATGAATGAACACCATTCGTTTAGTTCTGGTGGATCTTTGACGTTCAGGATAATTAAGTTATATCCATCCATCCATCCATCCCTTCATCAATTAATACTAAAGAAGTATGTAGAAGAGATCCAATTCTAGCCAAACTTGATTTATGATTATGCAACCTGCTTCCACACCCACCCCCACCATAAAAATAACATAAGGCGCACACTGTGTATTCACAAAATTCTTGTACCGAATTAACTCTTCAACTATAAATAAATTAACAATGTGTCGAGTGTTAGAAAGGAAACTGCATCGGAACCCAGTTATGATAAAAACATGAGACAAATACCTCGATGGAATTAGAGAGATCACCACGAAGAATGTTTACTTTTTTGTGCATACCTATGTACATACATACGTATATTATGTGTATCTATGTATGTATGTGCATGTATTTTTTCATGGGGGAACACTAGATCTGCGAAATTCTCTACTATTCATTCGCACATGGCAGTCAGACGTGCAGATGGGGTGGAAAAGGTACATGCACATTCACACATGCCGTTTCTTCCTAGTTCCTCCTCTCGACTTTCGGAAATGTAGGATACACGCTGAGACATCAGTCAGACCCAGAGCTTAATGCGGCTTAGTTGTTGTAAGAACCAGACTCAGGAAACTGTGAATATTTCGAACGTTTAAAAGTAAAACAAATGCCAGAACTTGACTGGATTGGATGATTTTCTCTCAGAGTATTAATCTCTTCCTCTTTGACTCAGCAGCAGCAGCTTCATGAATGGCTGCCTCTCATTTTCGATGATGATGATCATCTACTTCTTGACTCAACATTTCTCAGAAATAAATTAACAACTGCATAGCAAATTTGGGCTCTTCTTTCTCTCCCTCTCCTCGCCGATTTTCCGGATTACTTTATGCACGGCACTCTTAAATTTAGAGTGAATGCTGTGAAATCTATATTATATTATGAGGGGGTAATTTGGACTGATGATAATAAGCTTGCAATCATACCTACTTGGGATCACCGGTTGTTATTCTTTTCATTGGTTTGACTATAAGAACCAGTGATGAGTCTATTTTATGCATGTAAATATGTGCAAATATAAGAGACACAACTAAAAATGCGGACTAATTTTGCAGGCGATTCTGTTTTACGTGCCTCGGTGGTTATGGAAGAACTGGGAAGGAGGAAAAATACAAAGCTTAATGATGGATCTGGATATTGGTATGATTACTTTCGGATTATGGGATGATTAACAATAATCAAATCATAAATTACTAATTGATTCCAGGAATAATTCCAGAGATGGAGAAGAAACAAAAGAAAAAACTTCTCGTCGATTATTTATACGACAATCTCAAACAACACAATTGGTGAGCAAATCGAAATTTGTCATTACTGACTACGTTCCATCAACTTTCACTAACTTTTACTTCCCATCGAATATACTACCTTAAAGAGTTAATTGCGCTTGCAAATTTACGTAGGTGGGCTTACAGATATTTTTTCTGTGAAATTCTTGCCTTGGGAAATGTTATCGGTGAGTGAATATGTACATTGCTTATGTAGCATCAGGCCATCGGCAAAAGTGACGTCTCATCTCATTATTAACTGCCACTTTATATCGGTTTATGCATTTGCGCCATTAAGTTAACTTATTACTCCTCTTAATTGTTTACTGTCCACCTAAAAATGTGGTGCATTCATATGCTAATCAAGGTTTCCATTGTTGGTTGAAAATGTTGATTGCCAAGTCATGATTTCGATTGATCCTTTTGTTCATGAGCTGTAATGAAACGAACTTACAGAGTTTTTTAGATGCAGTTTATAATAGTGGACGCTCAGAATGTTTAAGAAATGAGAAATGTGTCTAGCACCATGTATTGAGTAAATACAGAAGTACCTACAAAAATTTTGACTAAAACTAAACTACACACAGGTCAAGCGTTTCTCATGGACAAATTTTTTGACGGCGAATTTCTAACGTTTGGTCTGGAAGTGATGCGTCTTACAGAAGAGGATGAAGATCGGCGGATAGATCCCATGATTAGGATATTTCCTCGAATGACCAAGTGCACTTTCAGAAAAGGGGGGCCATCGTGGGGCTTGGAGACGCACGATGCTCTTTGTACGTTGGAAATTTGAGCAAAATTTAAAGATACCTATGCATGGACCCACTCAGTCAGCATTGCCTTTAAATTGCACATTACAAATCTATAGGTATCCTCCCGATCAATGCAATCAATGAGAAAACGTATATATTTCTATGGTTCTGGTTCGTCATTCTGGGAGTGTTGTCTACGCTTATGATTTTCTACAGAGTGGCCGTCGTGATTTCTCCAAGAATACGAGGATTCCTTCTCGGATCGAGATTTCGTCTCCTCAGCCAAGACGCGATTCAGACGCTTGTTAAAAAATCCAGACTTGGTGACTGGTTCCTTTTCTATTTGCTCGGACAAAATGTGGATTCCATAATTTTTAGGGTATAACTGAGCTTTCACTTTCCATGCACACTTTATATGTAATATACCAAATTGTGACATTTCAGGATATTATGCACGAATTAGCTAGACGATTGGGGCACCCCAAAGATTTTGGTGAACCGTGACATGGAGTAAGTAAAGGAAAATATCAAACTCACCGTTTTCGGCAAATTTCAGATCTCGAAAACATGCAATAAAAGACCTGTACCTATTAATTAACTCTTAAGAATTTTTTATTAAACAACATATGGATAAAAGTAAATATACATGCTCTTAATTGACAACTAGCCTTCACATACATGTTTAGGAGTCAAATAATATTGGTCAACAACATATTTGTTTGCCAGTTTGTCTACTTTACTTCAATTTTACGATAATTAACAAACTGGTTTACGTATGACAACATTTTATAAAATACTTAAAATTCAACGTTAATCTACCACAAATTAATAATCTAGGATAATAAAAAATGTATAGTTATTAAATTGAATATATTTCGTTTTTGTTTCGTCACAGCACCAGACTCAAATATCACTGGATGTACATATTTCGTAGATTGTAAAGAATCTTTCATATTTTGAATCATTTAAAAATAACGAAACAATATCCATTCTGGAAAATAAATAGTATTCGCATTTACAAACAGATCTTTTCAACTGTTTCATCGCATTGCAGTCGGTCGGATTATCAAACTACGTTGATTTTTCTTCAGCTCACATAAGATTCAGAATAAAATCGTAACGGAAACATGGGAGGATGTTAAGACGACATTGGTTATCTTATTTATTTAATTTTTTTAACTAGCAACATATTTTGGACTTGCAACCCTATTATTTCGAAAAATTTAAATTTTGCAATACCCCAAACAGAATTCTTGCAATACATCAAAAATATATAACTTAAAATATCAAATTGACTACTGACTATGAAATTGAATATAAATTAAAATATAAGATATCATATAAGAGATCATTAATGCAATTGTACAAATTGGTGTATATAGTAGAAATGGGAAGGTCAAATCTGTAGGAAAATATAATTATTAATAAAATTATTATTAATTAACAAAATTATTAATATGAAAATAACCGAGTAAAATTCGTGTTTTAGCTAGCTGTATGTACCTTTCATTTAGGGGTATTGACATTTCACTGGTGGGACCAGCGATTTTCTCATTCATCGGCATCTTTATCTTGCTCCATCATCGTTTCCCATGCACTCTCGCGGAGTTTGTCTTCAACTTCTTTCACGACTTTCTGGTATTCCTCCTCCGTGAGTGTAATACGTCGTTTACGATAATGGCCTTGAAACTTTGGAAATAAGCACGAAGTTTTTACTATAGGTTGCGTTGGATAATTTATACACATGTCATCATACCTTTGGTCTATTTTGCCAAAAATCCATTTTGTTCATACCAAACAAAGTGATGTCTGGAATGTTTTGGAGATTGTTCTCAATAGCGACATCAATCTCATCCATTTCTTGTGGAGACAGTACATTTTGTTTTTGGGGTCTGTGAAATGTACATATGGCTCCGAGCTTATCACGGGCATAGAATTTCCTTTGAAATCGGTTTTCTGAAGAACCAACATGGAGAACAAAGGCATTCTCAATGTCTGGTTTAAACCCTTGACGAGTTAAATGCCTTCATAGAAAAAGGGTAATATAAATAGTAGTAGTTTAATACTGAAACAAAAACTAGCGATTTTGAAGTCACCCACCTTGTCGTGCATCCATCTCTAGTAACTTGCTGTTGGGCTGCATGTTTTGGATTTGACAATTTGGAGAATCCTCCATACACGCCAACTTCATATCCACCAGGTGAAATTAAGTTCATAAGCCATACCCCGGTAGCATTCTTTTCGAACACACCGATCCCACTGCAAAGCACAATAGATTTATGAGAAATTTTAATTAATGAATTAAGATGATGTGTAGAATTGACATCGTGATTAAATTAAACATTGTACTTTTCGTGTGCATGTCCTCTACAATACCCTAGGAATACGCTAATGTTGTCACATACTGCACACAACGCATGCCATTGTTCGCCAGGGTCATATCTATATGTGACGCCAGTATCTTCGTCAATGAAGGTCATGCCTATGTACGGATTTTTCGGGTGGATGATTCGTTTCCTAGAAAATGAAATACTTTGTTATAAGATATATCATTAATTAAAACTGGAACGACATACATTCCGCATTTGCACCATCTGCACGCACTTCCTTCTTTAATGACCATTGTTACACAATCGGGGGTTGAACATTTTGGGCGCCATCTAAGTAATCTGTTGTACCAGAATGGAACCCAGAGGACATCATTATTGTCTCGGAAGATATCCCCAATCTCTGCAGTTTTGGGGAAAACTCTCCTACTCCTATAAAGCGAAAGTAAGTTGAATACATGCATGCAATTTTACAACCTAATGAACCCATTAAAATGACATACTTTCCAGAAATGCATGCACACATATCACCAGGGGTTTGAACATGAGTGGTACAATCTAGATTCATGCATATCGGACTCCAATGGATTCCATTACGATTTTTGGCGCTTTTGCATGCAATATATTTTTTTCCATTTTGTGGGATACTTATTGTTCCCACAGGCATTCCCTCAGGGAACACATTGATAATTCTGAAGAATGTGAAAAAATAACAATATAAGTACCTGTTACTAAAGATTTGGTAAAAAAAAATGTACAACTACTTACACGTTTTTCGTACACTGAGCGCAAGTTAATCCTTTAACAGAAACCCTTGTTTTACAGTTTTCTGTAATGCATAACTGACGCCTGCGTCCTTTATCATCAAACTCGAATCTGGATTTCTTTGGGTTATTACAATTGTCGCCTATTTTGTAATAACGATTATCATGTTGGACTAATATCTTATGGTTTAACTAAAAATAATTATGAAAAAGTACGATAATTAGCTGCAACCGGATTACTATCGTTGAAGGCTTCATCGACAACGATATCGTCCACCAACGTATTCTCGTTCGAACTGGATAACGTGATTGTGGCCTTATAATAATAATGGGTTATACCAAAACTCGCATCATAACTTATCATATTAGTGACACAATACTTACAGATTCAGAAGACATATTTGATTTTTTGGTAGTCTGCACATCGAAAAATTCATTGACTTGAACTCTCTTCACCGACTGAGTCAGCCCCGACGAAGACCCCACATCCGAAGACGAACAATTCCTAAGATGTATTTCATTTATATACTTCTACCACTCAAGCAGATTCTTGGATACTTACGAAAGCAAATGTTGAGGAACATAGTAGCTCCCGGGGGGCAATTCTAAACTGTTGTTCCATGGAATATCTTTGTTGTCCTCCTTAGCCCTCGCATAGATGGTTCGGCGGAGTAAAAGTTCTAAAATTTGGTTGGTGGGTAAAGTGGATTTCAAAACTCTTCCATTTACATCAGTTGCCATAAGGTACTCGGCTATTCTGGGCCTCTCATCTGCAATGCTCAACGGGTCGATATCGCGTATGCTCCCACCAGACAATAATTTTTGGAGAACAGCTAATGTGAAATCTCCACATTCAAATCCTTTGTCCTGTTGGGGCAAGGACGTGTCGGGTGAATGGAATGTCCATTTGCCAATTTTCGAGATGATGCTCGGAAACATTCTTCTCAGGATTGCCAGCAAGTGGTTCTGATGGGATTTAATCTCTTCTTGTGTATCTCTTCTTCTCAAACTATCGTAGACGTACATCGATTTATCATTAAGGTCAATATGATGAAGGATCCAATGATTAGTTTCATGTTGAACAGTATATAATTGGCCGTTGCTGGTGTCAAAGTCCACAGGGAGATTAGGTAGGTTGGCTCTGTTCTGCTTAAAGAGAGTGACCGTGTACGTTGGAATCCACGCATGACGTGTCGGCTGATGGCCGGGTGAATTCCGAACAATGTGACTTCCCATAGTGTTCAACACAGCGTCCGTCAAATATTGATTAGGGGCAAGGGAAGCTAGGTCCTTCTCGTAACCATTTTCAAAAACCCGTCCCAGGATTAATGTTTGGCGGGAAGTAAGAGGAAGCCCCGCAATGGACGTCATGGTGTATAAAAATTTTCTACTGAACTCGTCTCGATCAATTGTAGGAGGCAATAAGGAAGGGGAATAAGTATAACCTCCTCACACGCAGTACCAATTAAAAATACTCGTGCCCCTGGTCGGTTTATAGCTTCGACAGTACGACGACACTCAGGGTTAAACTCTACGCAACAAACGAAGACATGAAAGAGAAAAAAAGCAAAAAATAACGGAAACACACGCCACATCCTTGGGCATGGATGCGGACTGTTCCTCTACACAGTTACGGCCGTTGCAGTCTCTCGGCGTTTATTACATTGCTATGAAATTTAGAAATATCTGATCCTTAAGCAAATGCAAACTTAGCACGTCCCTTCTTCCACTGATCAAGTGAAAGGGTGTGATTGAGACGGGCAGGTCAAACAAGTTGAATCAATCAAAGCACACCGACGATTTTGGCCACTCCAAACATACATCTTAAATGCAGTAGGAGCCTGTGTAAAGGTGTGAATTATACCGCGCCCGAATGGTGATCAGCTCCATTCCGATTCCAACAGCATTTGGAATGGCCCATGGCAATTTTTAATGTCGAAAGTATTACTGGTAGAGATTTCAAGGAGGTTAACGGGGAATTGGATTGACGTCATCAATGGGGTTCCCACCATTTCTCCTTTTGCCCCGCTCCATATACTAGCAAAGTTAAATTTCAAAACCAAAGATCTCCGTCAGTTTTTGATGGAATGGAACGTTTTTGGGTTCAATGGATCTCTAAATTCAAATTAAGCTCAGGTTTTATAAACCCCGAATTTAGAGATCCATTGAACCCAAAAACGTTCCATTCCATCAAAAACTGACGGAGATCTTTGGTTTTGAAATTTAACTTTGCTAGTATATGGAGCGGGGCAAAAGGAGAAATGGTGGGAACCCCATTGATGACGTCATCCAATTCCCGCTTAAACTCTAGAATTTTTGAACCAGTAGTTTGATGGAGTTTATAGTCAAGAAGTCGATGAAAATTTTGGAATAGAAGAATCAGGAACCCATGTTGAACTTGTAACTATAGTCGATGGTCAGCGGATGAATTTTTTGGAACAAAAATATTACGCAATGCCACCACTAACCTCAGAATTTAGTGTTTAATGACGAATCATATACTTCCAGATTGACCAAAATACACATAGACGGTGGAACTCGACACAAATTTCATTATTTCACCTGTGCGAAATCATCCTTCCACCGCCATTTCGCCATCCCACCAACTTAAACTCATTCATCTTCCCACCAACTTAAACTCATTCCGCCATTCCACAAACTCAAAATTATCCAACCACTTCCACTCCGCCATTCCACCACTTCGCCCCGTACGTCTGGATCAAAACAAAATATTTACTACCCAACCGAATTCCAATTGTCTCCCCCTTGGCCCCCCTGATGGAAGTTTTTTTCATTTTCACTTCGGAATATTTCATTACAAGCCTTCAGATACATGTGTGCCAAATTTCAGTTTTCTAACCCTATTTTGAAATTTTGGTGCATAATACCCCACCCAGCTAAATAACCCCCACTGGTCAACCACTGGACCGATTTTGCCCATCTTCGAACATAACCCGTAACTTTATCTCATATGCATGTGTGCAAAATTTGAACTCAATCGGTTCAGCCGTTTTGGCCCTATCGTGCCCAGACAGACAGACAGACAGACGGACAGACAGACCGGTTACATAAGCCCTGACTCGGGCTAAAAACCAGTTGTATTAAAATAAAGATATTGCACTTTTTCACAAACAATGTGTTTCCTACGTACAAAATTTCTGCAAAATCGTTACCCAGAAATAAGAGCGTAGAGTACTTCCGCGGGAGATGATCACTTAGTTATTTAGAGTGTAGGAGTACACACGCTCCAAGAAAATAATGAAAAAATCCAACCGTTATAAAATTTAAGAAAAAACGAAGCATTCTATTCGCCAAAACGTATGACGATTCACTAAGAAAATTGGAAAGGTTCAAGCAGGATGTTGGTTGTTGACTAGATTCAATAAAATAAATCAACACCCTACGGAACCCTAGGAGTAGGACTACGATCAATTCCGTATTAAGCCGATGACATGTAAAATTTGTCACAAATTTGTCACAAATGCATTATGACATGGCTGCCATACACACATCCCACCATATGTAGGTATGACTGAATTCCCTGAAAAAAATCAAAACAAAAACATTATTGCATATATCAGATAGTTAAGGTTGTATATAGGATGCAACATAACACAAAATAAACCAAATGTCAATAATTATGCCGGCCCACAAAACACATGTGGCTAACGCACCGAACTCACGGATCTTGTTACGCCCACCGGTTTGTAAGCCTGTTAGTATCAGAGATGAATTAGATGCATACCAAAAAATACACTACACTCACAAATTGTAAAATATTGATGCTGGCCCACAAAGCACAAATTGCCAACGCTCCGAAATTACGAAAACCTGTTGCGCCAACCGGTTTGTGAGCCGTCTATAGGAGATATAACCCATGCAATTCGGCGTTATATTGAAGCAGGGAAAAATTACTTTAAAAGTTTGAAAAGTTTGAAAATTGCCTAAATCGTGAACCCTAAATTCTCTGGGAGTGTCTGCCAGTAAAAGTCCGGTCATTCAGTAAATGACCAGTCGCTCAATCACTGTGTCCCAGGTTTAAAAACCATATTAGCTGTGGCTCAACGGGTAGACATCTAATGCTCTTGCCAACATTGCACAATCCGAAACTCTGCGAGTCGATCGAATTGAAACAACGTGTACTAAATCATTAGACACTTTGTTTCTACCCTAACCAGCAAGCCAAAACTCGACGCAACACAAGGACTATCCATTGGTTGCGGAACCCTCGAAGTCGTCCGCACCCGGTTGGGGAATCCACTGAAATGACAATTGCCCGTTAGCGCTCACCTGACCATGATCTACACATTGTAGGGCCGATGATGTCTTCAGCACCCGGTTGGGGAGGTCACCTGAAAAGACCCTCACCTGGTGACTGCGAAATGTTGGAGCAGTTGAGCAGCTATCCCCGTTGATTCCGTCGTTTATTTCTTCTTATCCAATCGATTCTTTGCGATGCAGGGCGGACTTCTGGTGAATCCCCGGAACTTAAGATTCCACGCCGGCAGGCATCATTTCTATCCAATCAGATGTTGGCACATCGCCCATTCCAGTCACGAGCTAAATTCCGAACTTAATAGATACGATATAGATATATATAGTTAATATATATTTAGATTTTTGGCGAAGGTTTAAATGCGGCTAGTTTAACACAGGCCATTGAATAAAACTCTCCTTCAATTTTTTTGGACTCACCGAGTATATCCAAAGGGCATTAAAATCAAAGATACCCTCAGTCATAAGCTGCCTTCCTTAGTACAACATTGAATAATTGAAATTGAATAAATAACTTACCTCAGCAACCTGATTAGGTCCACCAAGCCCATTAATCAGCTGGTCCAGCGAGTTCTTGGGCAACAAGTTTCCCAGTCCTTCAATCTTTTCTAAAAATTCTTTGCGATCCTGGGCTACTTGCAATAATGACGCCTCGCTTGGCATAAACGGCATATTTAGAGGAGAATGGTCTCAGGTATTCCTTCAAACTGGCTTCTTTCCTAATTTGCGCTTTCGTCCACCTTGGCATCAGGATAAATTACAAATTAAACCATTAAAAATCACGAGTGTTTTATAAGTTTATAAAGTTCATGGCGAGCATACCAACATTGTAGCTTCCAGTGCCCGAACTTGAGGAATCTGAATCATTTTCTGAAACATCTGCTGAAGTATGGAAGAAAACCAGAGCGTTACAGGAAGGTCCGGCCTCGTAATCAGAATCGTCTGAATCATCCAATCTTTCATTTTTTACGTGGTAATTTGTGTTCTCGGTTTTCAGTCGAGGATTGCTCCTGGTGGCTGGTGGAGAGCTGACTTTTCCATGTGGAAATTGTTTCTCCAAAAATTTTGAAGAACTTCCCTAAAAATATTATAAAACCTGAACTTAGTAAATTCATGGAAAACAAAATGTACGTGTACATACTTTGCGGTTGAAATAAAGTCTACCGGTTCTCCTTCCTTTTCGAATTGCTCAGCAGTTCTGGCTTCGCCCGTCGACTGTAGTCCAATTACAACACATTTTCCGTCAATCACGTCTTCCCTATAGGTCATAAACAAATAAATGTAAATAAATAATTTATATTTACATATGTAAATATACGCACAACTCATTCATGTAATTAGCAAAGAAGGCTAAATACTATTGTCATTACTTACTTTGCAATATAGATGGCACGACTAATTTTACCCGCGATACAGAGGTAGCGAAAGTAGCGTTGATGCGACCCCCAAAACTGTGACCAAATTATTTTTATTTCTTGCCCATCAAGTTGAAGCATGTCTATCGCGTCCATGAACTTCCCCATGGCGTGCACCCACTTGAATATATAATTAAAAGTAATTGATATTGACGTTGTTTATAAATTTAAATTTCATGATATAAATAATGAGACTTACCAGATCTACAGATTTATTGTACATGGTAACAAACTCAACTGTAAGCCCGACATCTTCAATTTTAAAGGTAACCCCCTTGAAACTTAGTTGAAGAGCAATATAGTCACCGCGCAGTTTCATATCCATTGCCACTAATTCCATCACCTTGATTCCTCTGCAGTAAGAAAAATAACCAATTTATTAATGAATCAAATGTTGAAATTGCAAATAATGTCAACAATTGTTACCCAGCCGGGAATCGAACCACGGCTCCCTTGATTACGCGTCAAGTGCTCTACCACTGAGCTACCAGGGTAATCTTTGACCTTATATGCAATTTTAACTTATTTAATTTTAATTTTAATAACCCATTTATTTAAAAACAGGTAAGTAACTCGAGTGCAAGTACTTTGACTTGAAAGTATTTAAATATCATAATTCTTATGACTAAATAGTTCTTTTTATTGTTACCTCTTTTCAATAGAATTTATAGAATCTCCAAATGTTTTGAACGGTGTCCCGATCCCCAAATTCCGAGACGCGTCATATAAGCCATATTCTTCGGTTCGCTAGCACCAGTTGCAGATATGCATAAACTATTCGAGCATTGGGAAGATCATTTTGCAGTTTTTCAACAGCAACTCCAGTCTTGGTTGGGTTCTTTGTCTTCACGGGACACAGATTTTTGGCTCGATGGCACTCGTCGAATACAATCTATTAATATTTATCCATTTATATATATAATGATACTCTTATATAAACAATTTATAATTTTATATGAAACTTTGAGGAGAAGAAACTTGCCGCTCCATCAAAATCTTTCCCAAGCCAGTCAATCATTTGAGCCAATCGTGTGTTAAATTTTACTCGCTTGCTGGTTTTGCCAATCAATCCACTATAAGTCATGAACAATACTCCATTCTTGAACTTGTCCTGTTTGATCCTTTCGTATTTGAACTCGTTCAACCCTTTGCCGTTAATTTCTCTCGCCCCGATATCTTTCAAATCTCGGATAGGGTCCTTCTTTAGGTCTGCCGACACGGAGATCCAAACAGCCCTTTTCCGTCCTTTGAGCCAATTCTCGTAAATTATACCAGCAACAGTTCGACCCTTTCCAACACCAGCACCGTCACCTGCAATCAGATATGAAATCATCAAATGTTAGATTGCACGTCATTAACTAGTCTGATTATTATAACTAAACCGCACGAAAAAAGGGTAATAAAACTATTCACGAGACATTTATCATTTAAAAAATCTTACCAATAAGATAACCTGCTCTGTCTCCACCAGCAAGGAAGAATTCATGTTGTTGACAAGCGTACACGATAGCCTCAAGTTGGGGGGCTGACAAAAGACCCTGGTTTATCACTGTTTTCGGAATATTCAAAGCATATCCGGCATCGACACCCCTGACAGGGATGCAGTTTCCACAATAGGGTCGGGGTGTGGTTTTCCTCCTTTCCCTGTTAACAATGAGAAAAATAGTATTTATAAAACACCAACACTAATGACTGAATAAACTAATAAATTCAACCAAAAGATCACACATTTCTGAGGGACATAATCCGCATAAGTCTCAGCCACATATCGAGAGTTTCGTCGTCTTCTTCAGGATCTTCCTCCTTATCCCCGGGTTCTTTACTGTCATTCTGATTCGCTTCCGCCTACTCACCCACAAAACAACAATTATTACGTATTGTCTGTCTACTTGTACGTGTCCCCTCATTTGCATAAATCTCACTATGCCCATTTTCGGCGACGGGGTTTGAATGTTGAGTAAACTCTATGTCTCTCGTGGATGCGTCAAAATATGCAAATGAGTAGACTCGGCTAGATAATTTGAGAATATGTATAATAATAATAATAAATAATTCAGCCAGAATCAAACTAAAATCCACCATCTCAACTCAATTTTAATCTACAACCTAACTAAGACTTTTAAAAATTTATCTCAACTCACCTTGACCTTAGTAGTAGCCCGTCGTTTATTGACCTTCGCCCTTTTACGTGGGGGTGTGAGTTGAACTTTGGAGGAGGAAGGACCAGCAGATGGGCGCGGCGGCGGCAACGGCTCATCATCACGAACGTCAAGAAAGGGGGCAATGTCGTTCTTATTATCCGCAACCTCCTCTCCAGTAAGGCTAAGGATAATAGTTTCCTCGTCGTCGTCGTCAAGAATTTCCTCCACCTCCGTCTTCACCTTGTGTGATGACGTCCAAAGTGGGGGTTGGCATCATGATGGAGCCTGTGGGAAGTGTACGAATAGGAGCGAGGGGGCGCGGAAGGAAACTTGAAAATTTTCAACAAAAATCGACAAGGACCTGAATAATGTTGAGAGTGGATAGTGAGAGATTGAGTGACTGAGAAATAAAAGTGAGCTGCTTCTCGAGCGAGCGACTTCTTCTCTTGGCAGAGACAGAGAAAAGACAAGACCAGGGAGCCGGCAGTAGAAGAAATCCTGACGAATCTTGTTTGCGCTTTCCAGCCCAAGCCCAAACCACCAGAAATAGAATCCCTCTCACTCGAGCAGGCAAGCCGAAGGACTTAGACCGCCACCACCGCACAATGCTAAACGAAATCCGCCGATTATTAATCTTTTCTTCCCGTTTAAATGTGATTAAATGTGACGTTTTTAAACTTCATCCAAACCATTTGAAATTTGGCACATAAATGCACCTATGTATGCTGCATCATATGGTAGCATCAATTCCCGTTAGGTCAACGAAAAAATCTATATATTCCTTTGGTTCTGGTTCGTCATTCTCGGAGTGTTATCTACGCTCACGATTTTCTACAGAGTGGCCGTCGTGATTTCTCCAAGAATACGAGGATTCATTCTCGGATCGAGATTTCGTCTCCTCAGCCAAGACGCGATTCAGACGCTTGTTAAAAAATCCAGACTTGGTGACTGGTTCCTTTTCTATTTGCTCGGACAAAATGTTGATTCCGTAATTTTTAGGGTATAACTGAGCTTTCACTACAGCTTTCTCTTTCCATATATACGTTTTATGCCTAATATACCAATTTGTGGCATTTCAGGAAGTTATGCACGAATTAGCTAGACGATTGGGACATCCCAAAGATTTTGGGGAACCTTGACAGGAGTCATGCAAGGAAAACATTGAAAATAAACGGTAAGAGGATATCAAACTCACCGTTTCCGGCAATTTCAGATCTCGAAAACATGCAATAAAAGACCTGTACCTATTAATTAACAGTTAAGAATTTAATTTGTTTCTTTGTTTCAAACACAAGCATGTCTTCATTCAGTTTAGAACGTATCAGAGAAAAAATTTCCATTTTGTATCTATTTTCACGACTCCCCAGTCTAATTTCCACAACGCATCCAACTATGTATGTTTCTCAGTTCTACTTAAAATATCGTATTTAAACTGCATGGCAATAAGTAAGCAGATTCGATCAAGATAAAACTGCCAGTGAAGTATCAGTTCTTTTTAGCAAATTAAAATATAATGCAAACTGTGACACCTGATATGAGAAGTGTGCCTTTCCCGTGCCATTAAGAAATGATGATTAATAAGTACTTAACGAGTGTCCCTCCGCGATTAAAAAATAATTAGATTATATTATTGTTATACATACATCGTCTTGTACCACTCATGTACCCGTACATACATACGCATCAAAGACACAAATAGTTTTAAAATATATTTAAGGTGACAAAAATATGTACGTCTTCCTATATTGTATTGCCGTGGTGTATGTACTTTGAAAAGCTCTTGTACAAATAAATTATTTTCTGGCATATGGAGATACGTTTTCTCTAAAGACAAACCATTATCCGGTTAAATAAATGACTTCCGCATCCATAATTATTTATTTTAGGAAAAACTTGGTTAATTGAGAAGTTGTATAAGTAACATTACTGCTTCTCAACTTTGTCATGCATCCATCGTTTCACACTTCACTAACAAGACCATCGACAGTTCGACAACCGTCTGACATAATTGAAACAGTAGTCAAAGCACTTTGGCTAAATTATTGGCAAACTTGTGCAACTGGGTCAACATCAAGATGATGATCCGGTATCGCTCATTATACTCACACCACATATTACGGATCACATAATTACTGTCACGAGAAACCCGAATCAAGAAATATTATGCGCCCATACGACCAACATTCCCACCACAGATGACGACGGTTATTGTTTGACAATACGTTATTTGCCACGTGATTTTTTATGTCGTAAGCTTCATGCAATTTTGCAGTTGTGCTGTTTAGAATTGTTTGGTCGTGGTCCCAGGGTCTTGTCTTCACAGCTCACTTGGACCCGACTTGAAAACATTTCGCTCTAATTGAAACCACTTATTTCAACTTTTGTGACACACAGATTCCTCAACTTGTCACATAGGCCCGTCCTCTTCTCTTGTCCATGAAGATGAACTAATTTATTTCGCTGTGTCCATGAGCTGTCATTTAAGATGTAGACGAATGTCTCACGTCTCATCAAAAGCCTCTAACTAATTAGACTTTTTTGCGCGGAATTCCGGCCAAGAATATAAAACTGACTTTGCAACTCGAATCGCTTTGTGTCTAATACACCAAACCGCTCTGCATTAAGAAAACGGGTAACTTAAACTTTCACTAGATCATCTACTACTGCAGAGGTGGCGATTGAGTATGCACAGTAAGGTCTAGTCTCAAGTACAAAATTTTGGGAACTCAGGAAAACTACTTTCCTTGCATTTTTCTTTTATTTAGAAAGTTAGTAGTTAGAAAATTTGAATTAAGATACGAGTAAATTTTCTGCAGATCTGGAAATATGCATGTACTACTTGGCATGAAAGATGTTCATAGCAGTTCCCCTAAATAGATTTATGCGTAGCCTAGGAGGAATTTTTTGTATCAAAACTCCTGATTGACGACGTGTCAATTTATGCCAACCCCAGACAGATTTACTATTATCTTCCCCTCCCATTTAATTAGAGTCATACATACAGGAAAAAATTAGTGACAAGATGCGTAATATCATATCTATACTTATTTATTTATACGTATTTATTTATACGTACTTATTTATACGTATGTAGTAATTTAGAACCATCATCGTACGCTACAATTGTTGATAAAGAAGGATGGATTTTTCAATTTTGCATAATATAGTCGAGATTCGCCAAGACATTAGATCAGATTTTGCACCACGTAAATGCACATTTAACACACTACATATTTTGAGCCTGCGGCTAGGGCTGGTCTCTTGGTAATAAACATGTACTCACATTTAATCTATGCTCTGGTAATACGCTGTCTCTGTGCGCTTGTTATACAGGTATCCAAAACGATTCTAAAGATCTTAGCTCATCCCATTTTCTGCGAGACATTTAATTTAGAAAAGATAAATGGCTGCATTTTCGTTCATGTTCAAGAAAATTTTCTATCGTTTATTCTTGCCAACCTGTAACAGAGAATCAGCGATAAACCCAAAGTCTTCGTATTCAACAATGGAGTATAAAGCAAGTAAGTTTTCCTTCATCCCAACATTTACCAAACTTCTCAACAATGGATTGTTGGGTTTGGAGAGTTCCTCCATCCCCACTATTGCATTATCATTATTGCATCACCACGATGTTACCACTGCTGCCATGTTCTTCTTTCTTATGAGCTCCCACACATGTCTTGTTGCCTTTAGCTCATCATCTGAAGGCAGGGTGCGTAGTCGTATACCAAGCTGTGCTGTTTGGCTAGGGAATGCATTGCACAGGTAAGTCAACGATCAGTAATAATGGCAGCAACCCCTCTGATCCTGTTAACTTCCCCCAACAACGACAAGAGCGGCATTGGACCAACCCTCGGAATTCTCAAAGTTTCAACCCTTCACTTCCCTGATGATAATATACACACGATCCTCATTTTGCACTGTTTGCAGTATTGTTCTTGCAGAGAGGAGAGTGTGGCAGAGTCGCTGCTTCGTTGAAATTCCCTTACAGCAATCTCAATCAGGTTGGTTTGTTATTATTATTATGTGATCAAAGCGTTGCAATTCCCACTGCGCGTCCTTCCCCATTTGTTTCTACATGCAGTAGAATGAATGGCCGATAAAGGCCTGTTGGTGATATTTTCATACTTTTCTGCCAACCAACTGTTGCATTTTTAGCAACAGTTTTCAGGTTTCTTTTTAAAATTTAAATGGTATGCCATTTAAGGGAGAGTATATCCTCCCCTCCGCTTACAGTACACAGTGTTATTAACCACGACTCTATGCAACGTGAAATTCAGAATCAAAAGTATCACCTTATTTCAGGTTTCACCAAATTTTATGTGAGTGTAAAATGTGATTGTGAAATGGAACTCGGAAACTTGGACTGAAGGATTATAAGAAACACCATTATGGCGAGGTAAGATTGTAATTAGTGTTTGTCTAGTGTAGCAGTAGTAGCTGGGCAATTTAACAATCTGTCCTTTCATTGTGCATGGTAGACATCACTCACTCACTTTGACTGGCAAATATGTGGGAAAATTACTTGGCGAGGCGTAATGTGTAAGGTGCATGAATAATCTGATACTTGGGTTAGATGAGACCTTGAGCAGAATTACTGCATGGTAGTTAGCTCTAGTCCTGTAAGAAAGAAATATGTAAGATACACAATATTGTGTAGTACTTTAAAAAATGAACAAGAATTTATACGATACGATGCATTCCTGCGAATTCAGTAGTCTTGATCTGTTTTACTCGCCTTGTTCACGTCGTCATCATAAAGGATGCGAAAAGTGAGATAATATCTTTCCACAATTACGTAAAATTATAAAGGATTCATGGAGTGTGATGCGATCCAAAACCTCGCCAGTCTGGGCATTTTTTGCAAACTTGTAATTTTTTAAACCATCAAGAAGGCAAAACGAAAATTGATACAATTAAGAAATCGTAATAATATAAACTTAGCATTTGTCCTAAAAAGGACAGAGACGGTTCAACGATACCACACACATAAATATACATAATTTCTATAACGAAAGCACACACGTTCCCCTCCTCCTCCTCCTCCTGTAAGCACTGTTCTGTGATGCAATAGGTGACACGATGATAAAAAGTGTTAATCTGTCTCCGCACATTATTCAATGGCTTCGATATGAAAGTAAAGGTATTATAGGCGAATATTTACTTTAATGATTGTGCAATCTTTGCTTCTCAATCATAAGTAGTTATTTACTTGGGTATCTTCCATGCATGCATATTTGTACATGTACCATTATGACAAATTGCAGGTAGTGGTGTTGTTGAAATATTTGCCATGTTCATAAAGGACATCCGTTCTCAAAAGCACCCGTTCAAAAATAAAATCAGGAAATCTGCAAGTTCTGCAATTTATTTATGTTAAAGCTCATTTTATGCTGGGATTAATTTCGCGCATGCATTCGTGACACAATACATTAAATTAAAATAATAGTGTTCGTTTTTTAAAGTATGTAATAAATCATAATTGAAAGATAACTTTTGTATTCATTATTTTATGCAAATCAACTGCATTCTTCTTCAACCTAAAAGCCGCTTGTTTAACTTCGTGTTTATGTACGAATTTTATGTGAGAACGAGTTCATTGAATTCAAAACAATCATGCAGTCCGTTGAAACACTTACATATACTGTTCCTCATTCCAAGAATGACAACAAGTAAATGAGCAAAAGTTCCATATTATTACATGGTTAAAATTTGCTGGATTGCAATTCTACTCCTCCTACACAATTACACGCAGCAAACTAACAATAAGAAGAACTAGAAGGATCAATCGTACAGGTAGAACTAGTCGAGTAACAACAATACAGAATCAACAATACAGGTTCACAGAATACTCATTTTCGCTGCTGATATTTACTGATAGTTGAGTACTACTAAAAAGTGATGGCATGTATACGTAATACCCTTGGTCTATCAATTGGATTTAGCATGGTGCTTACTTACTTATAAGTTATGCATAGTTCACTTTAGTTGGATTTTTTAGACTTGGTAGTATGTAGGCATAGTATATCATATTTGGGATCATGGGGTAGGAATCGTGGAGTCGTTATTAGGAAATCTTTCATGCCATTATGTTATGCTATTGAAACGGAACATTGGGCAAATGCTGTAAAAGGACGGATACCAATGCACTTTCACTTTCAATAAGTTTGAGAAGGAGAGCAGTTGGATTTTGTGGTGTTTTTTCCAATTCAGTCATATGAAATGTATATATGTAACTCGGTTTAGTTTCCAAACTCTACGCAACGCAAGGCAGGTGGGCTTAGCGTTTCCTCGTGTTATTATTCCTGCTCTGTAACTTGGCGAAAAAGCAGAGTCGAATTAGTAATCTTCATTTCATGCACCACGGGCACTTGAACCATTGCTTCAAGCAAGTTACACTGGTTAACATGCGTCTAATGTGGCGAAAAAAGTTTGTATACGTATACACACGATCTGGCTGGCTCGCCCACAAGCCATGGTCTCGCCATAAAGTTTATGGAATTGCATTATTACTCCCGTGCTCACGATCTTTCCTCATCCGATATGACATCATGTGGTCCATCCTGCGAGTTGAAATCTCATGTTCATCATACAGACATTTGAAATTAATATGTTTCACCCCGTCGTCCAATAAAGGCTCCACCATGGAGGCCTAATATTATTGCCTGCCCAGTAAAGATACACTTTTACCAAATGAGAAAATATTTTCACTTTGAAAAAAATACATTCATTTCGTGAGGAAAGGATAATGATGGAAATATCCGTATTCGTAAAATTGAAATCCGTGACAGGCACCCAAAATTTAAGTTTTATGCATGCATTCCAATATCCTTTAGAATCATGTCTCATCAGAAGTAAAGCACATCATTATAAAACTGTGCGCATTACGTGTTTCCATTTTTCAGCAGAAAAGTCTTGAATTTTGTGATACGTATCCTATGAAGCTGTATGTACGTACAGTTTGGGGTTTGAGTCAGACCCAGTAAATTATTTGTCTGGATCAAGTGACGTTGAACCGAAAGGCAGTATCATAAGTTGTCATTAGATTGACATCTCAAAGATCAATGGTTATGATGATGGTGAGATTTGTGAATTCGCGTTTTTAGACACTTGCGAGCTGCAAATGACGCGTTTATGTTAAGTTCATAACACCACGACGAAAGGATGAATGGAAAACTCTCACCCCCTGCAGTCTCATTTTTGTATACTATTTCTGGTTCTGGCTTTTTTGATGACACCTTCATTTTGAGTCGTCGTCGTCGTGAATGAAATAATAAATATCACATTATATTCCGCTATTATTTTGTGCCGACAGGAGACTGGAATTTACAATACGCTGTGAAAGTTTCACGCTATGCTCCCAGTAAACTAGTTTTTAAACAAAAGAGTTCAAATGACACTTCCTGTGATATGTGTCAGTAAGTAAATAACAATAAAGAACGGGTGACAAAGTGAGTGAACGACCGGCCTATCATCGAATATGGTTTCCAGGAAATTGAATTTTTAATCAGCGTCAGACACTCGTTAGTTAAACCGTTATATTTATGTTCGTATGAACATATCTGTACGAAGGGTGAAACGTACATGCGTCAATATTAACGCTAGCAGCAGGTCCAGACAAGTTTTTTAAGACGAATTATCTCGTATAATACTTGGATGAAAATCACATGTGGATTATGTATGCATGTATTGGAACGGAATGCATAAGAACAATAAATCGTGGATAATGCACCATTTGCTCATCTCTCATCTCTCTGAGTGTATGTTGAACTTGTTTGTCCAAGGAAGGTAAACAAGCTCACGGAGTGCAGTTAACTTGTCAAATGTTGCCTATTACCACTTATTTTATACCCAATTTCAGATGAACTCCAATAACCACAAACGAGTGTTCGAGTGAGTGAGCAATGATTTCCATGCACCATCAAATTTTACAACTCGACTCATCTTACTAAGAAAGTAAAAAATAATACGCATTCAAACGAGAGCTACATACAGATGTCCATATTGTACGTACGAGAGAGGTGCATATATGCTGACTGTACCCAATTTGAGGACCGTGGTGTTTTCAAAATATGAACGCATAAATATAAATTTATCTCAAAGTGGATGGCTGAGATTGTGGATGGCAGAGATCCAGAAAAATGTGTACTCGGTTTTTATGACAGATTTTAAGAAAAAAACTCCTATACACCTCTTAACCACGACGTACAATTCGTCTTATCTCTCATCAGTCATCAGTGTTTTGTGACAAGACTAGCGAAATTGTGGAAATAATAAATAGAGACCAGAAAAGTAGACAGTGCAGTGACTTGATTCATTTTGCAGCTATTCATTCCGTCGCGTAGTACACATTTTATGCATGATGAAGATTCAGGAAGTAACTTATCATCAAGCTGAAAAAAGTAACATCATGTTTTGGGTGATACACAAAAAGATAGCTAAACAGTTGTATCACTGAGCATAATAATGACCACTTATTTTCGCACAAAACCTATCGAGTTTTGTGTATGTTTTATGATTTTATTATCAAACTTTTAGTGGGTATATAAATCATAGACGTTGACATAATATTGCAAATGACAGTTTTGACCTGAATCTGGAACAGTTTTTGTCAAAGATAAACTCAGGTTTTTTGTTCTCTACGAAAAAATATTTATCACACCCACCTGCACAGTCTAAGAAATAATCGTAAATTAGACAGATAGAGGAGACTCTTTTCCTCCGATGCATAAAATTATAAGGAAACTGCGTTTCATATCCGATTGAAGAAATGTGAGGAGGACGAGTTCATACAAGAATACTAATATCCATTTAATTAACTTTACAGTTGCACCAATGCAACAATTCTCGCGATTTGTCAATGTGGTGGTGAGCTTTGTTGCGTTTGAGTTCCCTGAAACATATTTTTTTTACTTTGTCACGTCGCGACCAAGTTTCTCACGCATCTTGGTCTTTACAATCTCTTATGCATAAATAAGAGATGGAACCATTGTGCAGCATTACTTAGTACACTTTATCACTAGTTTAGGCATATGCATTTCGAATACTATTGGCAATAGTCTATAGCCAATGTTGCTAAATTGATAGAAAATTAATTAAGAAATTAATAATGAGATCCAGCAAAGTTAATTAGTTTCGTAAGCCTCCACATCCTGAGTCATGCAAATGTATTTCTGTATGCAAAATTATCTAGCTACTACGTACACACATATATGCATGCGTGCAAGTATGAAACAAGTGCAAATTTTCTTCATGGAAAAAATTGCAATCACAAAGGCGAGCTACATAATAGAACGTATTTTTTACCTCTCGAGAGGAGAGCGCTCTTGTCTCCTCGAAGGACTAAATTTTAATTACATCAGGGTAACAGTTATTCTTCCCACAAGCTTTGCCTTATTTCGACATCCATCGTTCGTAGCTTGCATTGTGTTGCATCCTAATCTCACTCACCTCACTCGCTCGAGCTCATAAATACCTCAGAAAACCCAAGTTGGGAGACACGCCACGAATAAAATACCGTCTTCGCACTTTTAACCGATGAACTAACGGATTATCTGTACGATTCAAACTTGACGAAATTTTTTCATTGATCCTGTGACAAAATTTCAGAGTATTATTTGCATCTCGACCTTTTCAAGGTAGTAAACTAATGTGCATAGTGACATTATAAGCAAAGGATAAAATGGAAACTGTATGAACGAGGAATACAGCTCATAGGAAACGAGTCAGTTGAATGCAATTGTCTCAAGTTTCTTGTCTCAAAATGTGTGGGCAGATGAGCAGAATGAATAGCAAGTAAGAGTATAAGGTTGAATTTATTTACGGCAAAGATATTGGCGGAGGCCTTCACTTTTATATTCATTTCACTCGCCCATCAGCCAACAAGAAAGACAGAGCAGAGATTTGAGATGAAGGATCAAAGTTGGCTCATCATTATTATCCATCACCAATTCTACCATGCAGGTGTACAAGGACTTTTCTTTGCCAACTACATTTACCACTATTACCACCACCACCCACCTACATACACATATTTAGATATGTTCATATAGCATGCATTTACTTACCACCTATTCAACATGCAATCTGATTAAATGCAATTTCGTTGATGTCATGGGCGCATACGAAAGCATCAACTTTTTTATTGATACATTATTATATAATTCTATATATTTTTGATTCAAGGAACGTATGTATGAAAGAGAAAAACACTTCTATAAACAAAGGATGGAACAATATAAATACATATGTGTCCTGAGTGTGACTGGAAAAATAGCCCTGGCAAATTCGTTATTACAATATTTGCATCACCTCACAGGTAGTTGGGTGGTGAGAAAAGTAGAGACTGAGATTTTTCCAATCTCACAAAGTCGCGTAATGGGGTGCTTATTATTATTGTTCATGTTTTTAATTGGCCCACAATTTGGAAAATTCATGCCAATGCCTAAGAATAAACAACCTGTATGTTGTATAACTGACAAAGTTTGTTAAGCTACGGATTGTGGACAATGTTTCTGTATTGAGAGAATTCATTTATGGCAAAATAATGTTGGTGTTTCTAGAGAGAGTAGATCAAGGCTAGGGGATTGTGTAAGCCAGTAAAAGTAATTGAATGATGTCGCCCATTTGCAAATATTTGTAACTCATTTTTGCAATTTCATACGACTTGAATGCTATATTGAGTCATATTTTAGTATGCAATTTTTGCACCCTGTTGTCATAAAAGGTGACAGGACAAATAATATAATGTTGCAAATATGACATTACATACAACGTAATTTTTATTGAATCTAGAAGGATGCTTGGGCTGAGCCTGGTTCTGCTGGCCCTGATATCAGCACATCCAACCTCTTCTCAGTCCAACTACGCCCTGCAGGCGATTGATGTGGAATATGGGAACGGGCTGCCCCCAACGGCAACGTTAGACGGAAAGGTGACCGAATTGGACTCCTTGAAACCACAGATCAGTCTCAACCGCACATCTGCAGATTTGAATTGTGCAGCCGGGTCGATGCATGTCCAGCTAAAGTTTAAGCAACCTTTTTACGGGATCGCGTACTCGGACTTTGACAGGTTCTCATACAGGATCATGATTAATTATAAATATTCATTAGCAGTAGCAGTGGCTGTTCGTTAAAATACATATAACAGTACTGTAGACAGGATTGTTATTTAGTAACCCGCTTTTTGCATACAATCCTAAGTACCTGCATTAAATAGAAAGTGGAATCAAGGAGGTCATGGAAAAAAATTGTCATTGACTTCATGGCGTTATGTACGTCATGGAATATAAAACTGTGTCATGTAAGTTTTAGCCTTCAGGGGACAAGCACTTAGTCAAGGTAAGAGAATGAAAGGGGCAGTGACATTATGGTATCTTAGGACAAAAACAATTTAATTCATTTATTCGCACTTCAACATCTCATTAGGAAAGACTATAAAAACAGTAAAACTAATACTCCTATAAAAATTGTCATTAACATAAGCAGCACTACTCATCGGACGCCTTGGGTCCTAGATAAACATCGACTAAAAACTTTTTAATTAAAATTCCATGAACAATTTTCCACGACTTTTTATCTACAAAACTTGCATTGATCTGCCTATTGATACAAAGAGGATGACTATTGTCAGATGAGAAATCGCCTGGGTTGATACAATTTTTTAATCGCAACAGAGATGCTATTAGGGCAGAAATTTGGAGGTGACATTCCCACTTGTACCGCTCCTCTTCAAGCACAAGTCCGACTGGGACCAACTTGTGATCAGGGTGGGTGGAGGGCTTTTTGTTTTTGTAGACGACTATAGGGTCTGCAGTACCTCCCTGTCTATGCACGCTCCTACTCAGTGCTTGTCCAGCATAAATAATGTAGGGATTTGATGCAAAGTATAGTGCAGCAACCTTCTCTTTTCTCTCCTTTCTTCCTCTTGTTAAAAATGCCCCAATATTTTCACCCTCCTCTGCATGTAGAAGAAATGGAATCTTCGCATCCTCCTCCAAATTAATTGCTGTTGCTGCTGCTAATGATAGCTTATCGTGAATCTTCAATTCCACACCATACAGATCCATTTCCTCCAACAACTCCTTATAAGCACCATTTGGAAGGTTAATATGTGAATTCAGGGAGATAATTTTGATTGTAGTATCGGGCCATAAGAGCAGTTGAAAGAGTGTCGTAGTCTAAAAATGGTTGGACAATTCATTGTAGGAGTAAAAGTTACATATTTCGCAGTATTATTATTATTAGTACCTGGCGTGCTGCATAAACTTTCATGAGTTCATCTTCGTCATCAAAGTATAGGCGACGCTCCTCGAGTTCAACTGCTTGAGCGGCTGGTGCTTTGGCAGCCTCACGTTCTTTGGAGTATAACTTAAAAGCCAGAGTGGGCTTATTTATATGCTGAAGCATGATGGCCCGTGTTGCGTTATGAGATTTCCCCTCATCATCCCCATAAATATATGTGAAAGATGCAATGACATGGAGGACGACGTCGTTCTTCTTATTGGCCCCATCTGTAAACTGAGCCAACACGAAACCAATTTGTTCTCCTTTGTGCAGGTAACATTTTGGGATCGGTTCCACAGTTGTTGACCTTGTTTTCACACAATCTGGAAACATGTCACACGTGGAATTAGAGCGTACTACATAATTCATCATATCTATAAAAAATTACTTACTAGGGATCACGGAACAAATATAAGTGTATTTCGTATTTGGGGCTACAATAACTACCAATTCATACTCCCGGTTATTATTTGGTGGTGAGAACGCCACTCTCGACATTGTCCCCGGAACCTCCAATCCTTTTTCTCCCGCTTGCCTAATCTTCGTCTCTGCAATGAATCTCTCTGCAGCAGTAAGAGGGGGATATTTTCCCGTAATTATTGGGGGAGTATTAGGGGTGAGATCAGAAGTGGTCGAAGTTTGTGATCCCATTTCATCGACCTCTCGAGCCAACTTGCAGAAAAACTCTCGCAGTTTATTATCCCCTTCATCTAAAAACAAATACAAACCATGTCATAAATTGTACAATCCCTAATAATATAAAATGTAAAATAAATTTGCTTACCATCAGACTTATCCGACATCTTCTTATTCGTATTCAGGGCTTTGGTGATTTGCCACCAAACAATGTCACGTTTGTCCTCTCGCGGATCAATTTTTCTATTTGCATAACCTCGTTCGGGGGGGCTGGTGGGTGGATCTCTCATGTATCTCGTTCTCCCTTCCACCATTCTCCACTCTTGTTTCGACAACAATTCCTCATCATCATCATCATCCGAGTCCAACGTTAGAAATCTGTTGAAATTATGCATAAAAAGAATCATCTCATATATAAACATGATTTTCATTAGTTGCAAAAGTACTTGAAACTTGGCAATTCTTCCTCCTCAGTGTCATTGTCGTCCCCTTTCTTCCTCTTCGTGGACGTTTCAGCTTTGCTGCTGGTGGGAGTGGCTGCTTTCCGTTTAGAAGACGATGATGACGGTGCTGGTTTTTGAGTATTTGGAAAAGAGGGAGGGTTGACGAAATCGTCATCGTTGGAATAATTGCTCATGATTTACCTACACATCAGTTAAATTTATACGATTAAAGTAAAAACCTTGTCACTCACGCACGAAAATTATCTCAATGAACTAATAACAATACTTATAATTTATGACATGGTAAGTACTTACGTTTAAGTAAGGATGTAGTGGCTGAAATTGTTGGAGAAAAATGGTAATTCACTGACTCAACAAGAAAGATTTCCCGCTATTGCAATTTTGAAGGGACAAAAACATATGACGTCGATGTACATAACTTTTATCATTTTTTTAGTTCAAACAAAGTCTACATAAATTTCTTTCTTTCTCTTTATTCCAGGTACAGTGCCTGCCACACACAAGGAACTGGGGATCTGACGGGAGTGCTTGAACTGCCCTTAAAAGGTTGTGGCACTAAACAGGTATGACGACAACCAGGAGATTTCAACATATTTTCGCATACGTTCGTATCCAGCTAATAAGTATGTAATTGGACACTGTCTCGCTTCACCCTGCTTTGCTCAGCGATGTGAGCTCACCTCGTCGCATTGTTCATCACGGATCAGTGTGAAATCTGCCTATAAATGATTATACAAATACCTGCATGCATACTAATTCCCCGTCACGTCAAACCTATTTGGCATTTGTATCAATTTTTCACTTATAGTCACCTAATTGCAAGACAATTATTTTGTATGCTGCCTGCCAGCTAGCTCCTTATTTGTTTTGCTTGCATGGGTTGATTACAACGAACGAACTGAAAATGGAAGGTTGTTGAAACAGTATATGTGTGCACGTATGTCTGTTTTGTTGGGTAGGGTAATAGAACTTGATGCTGTATTGCCAATTTTGGAGACAGAAAAAGTTGTTTTAAGGTGGCGAAATAAGGATCGACCTTATATGGACCTGTGGCATGACATTAATCTCAATCTAGTTTCTTGGTTCGCCTTCGTGTGTGTATTTTATGTGCATGCAGTATTTTGCTCTCCGGGTTAATTTGTCATTCTCACTTCCCTGTAAATTCTGATTCAACCTTTCTCACCCCAGGCATCCCACTACATGCTTTATATGTGAATCAACCTGAATTCTGATTCGTTTAGGTTTAGGTCAGGGTTTCCTTTCATGCAAAACAAAAATGAATTAGGGATTATACACTTATTGTTCTTCCGCAACATCCCACAACTGGTTGCAGGTTCAATGCTTCGTTTTTATGCATATTTTTCTATTGCAAATTACACCCACACTCTTTCAATCCACCCACCCACGCAAATTAAAATCATAAAATGCAATGTCAATATCTTGTTGATTGCTCTGTTCTTTTCGACTGATTTCCTCGTCGTTCGAGATAAGCTGGTCACTCTGATTAAAGAAATTCAACCAATAATGCTAATGACATGACCTTGTACAGAATTGTCTCACTAAACGACAGCATCATGGTCCTTTCTAAAGACATATACTCAATGTGAAAATATACGAAACATGAAAGGGGTATTGTGCGTGTAGCAAAATATACGTAATCGGACTGGACACTTTTATAAAGCGTTTAATGATGTACGTTTTCAGGATCCGGCCCGTGTTTTCACGAACAATGTTGTCGTACGGTTCCATCCAGGTGAGAACGTGATCACTTTATTCGTTATAGATCAATTAGCGGTCGTGTCAAAAGACCAATAAACAGATTTACTGATTGCGCAATATTCGAAAAACAGGTTTGGAAATGGAGGGAGATGAGGTTATCACTGTTGTATGCCGATATCCACCCCCAATTGTGCCAGCACCCCCAATTCCTCTCATAAAGTATGCGAATGATTGACGGATGTCATATTTACCGCTATGTATATATACAAGCAATTTCTGGAAATATTAAATTGTTTATTGCAGCCTACCCCCACCTGTCCCAACACTAGTACCCAAACCACTAAATGAGCTTGAAGTACTGATGATTATCTGCACTTTACTATTCCTTGGCCTGATGTTACTCGGTCTAGCATGGTACATTTTAAATTTTATTCTCACGAAAAATGATCCCTAATTGAAACAAAATTATCAACACTATTATTTCTGTCCATGAATTGTGTATACATTTCATTTGCAGCTCAACGTACTGCTTGAAACAACGAAACATTCAAGTCATCCGGAAGAGACCGTTCACGTTAGTGCAAGACAAAAATTAAGAAATTGCTTTTTCTGGATAATTAAAAATCATAATAATTTGTTAATTTTGTGAATACAGACCGATCGATGATGAGAGTGAGCAGGTGTCGACAATTGAATCCTTCCAACAGCTTAAAATTCCGAGGGTTCATCCTCCATCCACCAGTTCGTCGGAACCTCCCATGGAACAAAATCTAGCATCAGACTATCCTTCATCTCTGGATGAACCCATACCACGACCTGAAACAGCGTCCTCCGAGTACTCTGACACCCACGTTCAAATTGAGACGGAGACCATTCCAGCAGCAGTCATTTCCAAGCAAAAGTTTGAAGTCAACTTACGAGTAGCACAACAGCCAAGGGAACATATCGCGTACGAGAGGGAAGGGTACGACATTTTTACACATACTCAGATTTAATGGTCACATGAAAGCAGGACCAACCATCAATTATTTTATATTAATATTTCAGATCTATTACATCCATTGAGACGGGTACTACTGCTTCTGAGATCACAGTATCTGACCTCCATCCACCCGCACGGCGAGCTCCACCACCTCCTCCAGTCTTTAGAAAGGTACAAAAACAAAATTTAACATGCATACATTTTAAAGTGCGTATCAATGGGAATATCATTTAAATTTCCAGACTCAAGATATCCATTTGCCACAAAGACATGTGCAAAGCACCGAATACTTGGACCATTTGACAGTGGTGGACAGACAAGAAGTCGACACTGCCACGCACTACACCAAGCCTATTGTCATTGCCAAGAAGCCTGAGGTCTCTGTACACACAGTTGATGATGTCTATCTTCAGGTATAAATTTTCTTTCAGCTAAACTAAAGTTTTATAAAATTGAAACCTCACGTGTGCATATTATCGTTTTTGAACTTTAGACAATTGTTGAACGAAGATTAATTGAAGATGAAGAACGAAAAACAATAGAAGTCACTCAATTCTACAAGAAAGACCAGCCGAAATGGGACGTTGTCATTAAAACTCACCCCACAGATGACGATGACAATTGGGAAAGAGGTAGTACTAAAGTTCTTACAAAATTATTTATTTTGCAATAAGGCGATGCTAAAAAATAATAATTAAATGTATAATATAATGCAATACTATAAATATTTGCTATAGGATCTGAAACCACAGAAGTTTCATCAATTGGATGGTCGGCAGTGGAGGAACCAACGATCCACCCGAATTACACCACAATTAACAGAGACCATCTCATCCGTCGCAACGAAGTTCATCATGAAGAATCCGACCGTGTAACCGTTACCCGAGCTATGCAAAAACTTCGACAAGACGATACACAGATTTGGAACGAAAAGTGGAAAGTTTTACTTCGAGTCTTGGTAAATACAAATACATTTGTAATTCGAGTATTTCATTTTGTGTAGAAATATTATATTTCAAATATAACGATAGTCCGGATCCATTAATTTGTCAACAGTCTACATAATAACTTATAACTTGTGTTAATTTTTATACTCATGTTGTAGGACTCCTCACCCCCACCAGAATTTCGACCTGACACTGATGATGAGTCAGATGTTGCCTCTGTGTTAACCCAAGATGACAGAGATAAATGGCGTCAGATTATAAGCACCGAGTCCACTCTCAGAACTCTTTTAACTGAAGCCACGTACAGAGAGGATTATGAAAGAATCCGAAGGGACACTCGTTACGAGAGACTATTCGAGCCCGAAAAATGGGATGTAAGTCAGAAAATCTCTTACAAATGTCAAGATTCTATGATTTAATAAATTTTCCCACAGGTCATCATTCATGTGTTAGCCCCACCTCATACAACAACGGATACAGAGGACCGGTTTTATTCCGACTCCACGAGTGAAGTGTCGTCCTCTTCAGGCAGTCCCCTAAAGCCCAGTCGAATGTACAGGAAGAAATCTTCCGACACCAACATTACGGAATCCAGATCCATCACCGATGTTCGCTCAATGACCGAAATGACTGTAGACTTTGGCGTTGACGAAAGGATGGGTGACGACTCGTCTTCCGTATCATCCGTTCCAGGGGCTGCCAGGTTTGGTTAAAACAATGATTGTCCAATTTTTATGCCCATTAAACGAGACCTTGTCCTTTTGATAATAAATACTTTATTATACTCTATTCCAGGTCCATTGGCACAGAAATCGTGGAGTTTGCACCCATTGAGATGTCGCAAGGCGGAGGAGGGATGGAAAGCAGCAATACTTTCACCCGAAGAGAGACCCGAGTCACCCAGCAATCCGCAGGGACCTCTTCGTCCACGACCGGCTTTGTCCAACAACAATCGTCATCCAGCAGCACTCTGTACTCCACCCGAACGCAACGTCAATAACTTAAATAATAAAATAAATGAGTGAAGAAGAGGAGGAGAAAGTCGTTTTGTAATGTACGTAACCACGAGGTGCCTCCTTCTAAGATTTTTTTACCAAAAACCAAACATGGTCCACTAACACAGTAACAAATGTTCAAATTTACACGATAACATACAAATCGTAAAATAGTTTTTATCTTAGCTAAGCAAAAAATGAACTAACAGAGCTGCCATAATACATAATTTACCTGTTTCAGTAGCACACTTTTGTCTCTCGTCTTCTTACCGAAAGCTAACAAGGAATGGAGTAAACGCATTTTTAAAGTTCATCGAAAAGAGTCTTCTGGTCTGGTCCAATAACTAAAATACAGTATTCATAATATTTTAACGAGTAATCTGTAATATGAATATATTTAATGTAATAATAAAAGATATAATTTAGTTATTTTGTATCAAGTGGGAGAATTTAACCAACGAGTAAAACGTTTAATGTAGTAAAAAGTTGTGGGACTGCGATTTAACCCGATGCAAAAATAAATATTCAACATTTAAAAGCTGGAACCAAATCCAAATGATGCCTTCATTAAAATTTGCATCTTTTGTATTTTATACCCTTCATTGTACCGATTGAAACACACTTGCACGCATAACACGTGGTTATTTTCATGCACTTAAGGTAACGTGTCAACCAAGTATTTCTGACAAGTAGAAATGGCGAAAGATCGGAGCTTTCCCCATAACGAAGTGGAGAAAGTAAAATTGCATGGAGGGAACAAAGGCAGAACGGCTACGGGGCAGACTGAGCATGTGGTGGCGGATTCCATAATCCTCACGCAACACAACCACGCGAGAGACACGAGCATAATAATTCGCTGCTGTCTATTATTATAAGTTTGCAATTTGTAATTTCGTGTAGCAGGTGAATTTAATAGCATTTTAAAATTCTGCACAATGGGTAGAAAAATACTCGTTGCCAAGAGGGGGTTGGGCAAGAAAGGTCGTGGAGGTGAGGGAGAGGGTTCTAGAGGGTCAAATAACAAGAACAAGAACAGAAACAAAGGTGCAAGATGGGCAAAAGGACACAGTTGTGTTTCCAATCCAAAGGCTACCAAGTATAGGGAACAAGTGTCCTCCACATTCCTCCATCCAGTCAATACAGGTACACCCAGTCGTTTCTTATTCTTTGCGTGTTAGCGCTGAAGTTAATATGCAATTTGTGATATGAATATGTAAATTTCATTATAGGAAATTCCTTGCTCACGGTAAAAAATCTGAATAATCAGCGGCCGCCTAGTGTGGACGATATAGAAGACAACGATAACGACACGGTGTTGTCTTCAGATGTGGCTTCTCTGACTATTTCTGACAATGGGTTGAGCGCTTTAACAACGGCTTCTTCCATCAGAACAATTGCATCTGGGTGGTCGCAAGTTTCACATAATGCGTTTGAAAGGTAGCAAATTTAGTTTGTTGAAATTTTGTTTAAAACGTTATTCGCAATTTATCGCTTCTTTTCAGATTTCTGAGAAAGTTTAAAGGAGACATTGTTGCACACAAAGACATGCTGAGTATTCTTGGAGCAGCGTCTGAAGTAATTGGAGAAGCTGGAGGAAAGAAAAATGAAACTGAATTTTTTGCTACTTTTGTAAGTGTATGCATATATCTACTGCACTCCACAAAATAGTTTAAATTTTGTATATTATAAATTGTGTTTATTATTTAACAGATGAGCCTGCTTAGCAGTTGTCCTCCAGATCAATATCATCCAGTTATGTCGTTGGTTTGCATAATTATTGGAAAGGTCTCCCCTGCTGTTTTGAAGCTTAGGTTTGGAGACATTTATCCTAGAATCGGAACTATTCTTACATATGCGTTAGATAATGATGACGATCTTCTTATCAGAACGGTAAGACAAACTTATTATCTTTTATCTTAAATTTAAAAATAGTTATTCTTATTAGAATATTTGTCTTATTATTGACTGTAGACCCTTGACGCACTTACAAGATTATTTAAAGTTCAAGATACTCTTAACTTTGGAGAGGATACAGTACTTGAAGCTGCCCTTTACAATCTGCTGAAATGTTCACTTCATGATAAGCCCAAAGTTCGTCGGAAAGCTCGCCAGTCAATCAAGTCTCTAATTGCTTCTTTCAATGAGAAAAATTCCACAAATGCTATTCCCAAAATCGTAATGGGTTGGGCATTGGATCAAGTTGCGTGTTATCCCATGTGTGATTCTAAAGTTGTGGCAAATACATTAACATTAATCGCAACATGTTGGAGTGCAATGCAAAAAATTTCATTCGTGGGCGCCAAGAAACTCTTTGAAAATGGTAATTTTACAAAAAATAAATGTTTACTATTTCAGTTGTAAGTAGATTAAAATATAACCTATATAACAGTTTTACGGGTCATGTCCAGCGGTGATGCATCCATTATGAAAATTGGCCTTTCGTATTTCGTCATCGTGTTCCAGAATGATGTCTCCATATATTCAAACAATTTAGAAGATCATTCATTAACCACCAACTTGCTTAAAGCACTCTGGGAACTTGAACCAGATTGGAGAAATATTGATACTTTTGTGATATGGCTAACTTGTATTTTGCTCGGCATTATCAGATCAAACTCTAACGCTACCCATTCGTATCTGCCAATCTTATTTGAAAAGATGAACCCCGTATACCTGACAAACTATGGTAAAAGGACACTCCGCGTCATGCAAGAGTACATACCACACATCATCAATCCTGATATCGAAGAAATTATCATCGAAAAATGTTTTCAAACGTTGGCTAAAAGTTACCTTATTGTCCCACCGAATCCATTTGTCCTCAGTGTTACGGAAACTATGTTGGTACAACTATCAGCTGAAAATTTCACCAAGTCTGCCAAAGAAGTTTTCTTGCAACTGGTACCCCTATCCAAATCACATGGTGTAGCTCAGGTTCTTGGAAAATATGTCAAAGCATTTGGCGTGGAAAACCTTTGGGATGCTGCAAACTCTTTGGAAACTCGGTGGGATCTGATCGTACCATTGTTAAATGAACACTTGAGTGATGGGCACATTTTATTTTGGAAGAAAGAAATGTTGACTCAGATTAACAGGCAGTCTCCCAAAGCCATTTGGGTTGCATTGACTGGGTTCACTAGGAATCCAAAAGATCCGGAGAATTTCCCTGCCGAATTGATTGGAAAAGCAATTAGTGACAAGCCAGAGCTACGGTTACCAGCACTTACAGCCCTTAGACAATTTCTAGAGTGGCCACAATGTAAAGACGTGGCTCTCAAGTACAGCAAAAACTATCTCCCTTTGATATTCAATCTTTACGTTCAAGAAAAAAACAACAAATCTAACCCAGGACATGGCGACGCTATTGGAGTCACTATTCAAAAGTACTTGCCCATTTGCGACGAGCAATTTGTTAATCAACTTATGGAAAAGTAAGTAAAAAAAATGTAAATGTACTATTTTAATATTAGTTTTCGGTTTATAATTTTCATATTTCATGAAAAATTTATTCTTTAGGGCATTTACGAAACTGGAAGCTGCTGAAGAAAATGAAATCAGCCCTATTTGTGATCTAATAGCTTTTCTGAGCTTTAGCTGTACCGATATAAAAGTTCAGGAGAAAGTAATGAACTTAATTACAGCACGTTTCAAGAATGCAGATGAAAAGAAGCGACTGTACAGAATTATGACATTTTTGGCGAAGAATGATAATATCACATCCGATAATCTCAATATGGTGTATAAACAATTATGCGAAGGCAAGGGAGAGACTAAATCAAATGCAGCTGCAGTCAGACTGGAATGTATCATTGTTGCAACAAGCAAGGTAACTTTAATAACTTTTTAAGAAATTTAATAATTCGATAATTGTTTGAAACTCTAAAATTTGTGACCTACCATAATTTCAGAACCCAAGTTGGCAGAAATCTTTCATCTCTGAAATTATTTTGAATCTTTTAAGTGCTAATGCGAAGGCAAAAAAATGCGCTACCCAATACGTCGTCAATTACTGTTCATCTATGAAGGTAAAAAACAATATACTGGAATAATGTCTATTAAGTTATAAACTATTGAGAGTGTTGGCACAATTATCTCACTGGTGTTGTTACAGGAGGAAGGGAAATCAGTCGAAGAAGTTGTCGAAGCTGCAATGCCAGCACTTAGCTCGTCGTCGCCACTGCTGGTTTCATGCACTTCATATTTTTTCTTCCTAGTTTACAAGGAAATGAAACCACCTGCACCCAGCTTTGAAGTTTTAAATATTTTCTTTCATAACTTGAGAACGTCGGAAGATCCAATCGTTTGGAAATATAGTTTAGCTTTCATGAATTTAAATCTGTCATTATATAAGGGCCAGTTAGGACCTTTGGCGACTTCTATTGGCCAAATTGCTGGCAATTCTAAATACCCTCGAAAGGAAATCAATAAGGTATTAGCTCGAATGATCAGAGTTTTTGGTGGTGCTGGCCTTAGAGCTGTTCTCCCAAATGCTGACGAGCCAAAAATGAAAAGTCGGGTAAAGAACCTGTGCAGAAAACTGAAGAAATTGAAGGAAGAGAGAAAGAAAACTCTCAAGGACGAGGAAGCGTCTGATGATGATAATGAGGATGACGAGGACGAGTTTGGCCAACCTAAATCTGATTCTATACCGCTAGTAATTAAGGAAGGCCTTGTAGATTTCTTAAACCCCAGGGAAATTACACAGGCACTTGTCAGTAAGTTTTTTGATCTCATCAAATTTTTATTAAATTTTTATGTTGACGCATCACTGTTTGATTGACATTAACATCATTATGTTCTTATGAACAGACGAACAGCATCCTTCGCAAAAAGAAGAGGTCGAGTTCAAAGAGTCAAAAGATGGGAAGCTAATAATTGGAAACGTTGAGGGAGACTCTGAGGACGACGACGATGATGATGATGCTGACTCAGATGACATGGACACAGACGCAATTCGCTTGCCATTAAAACGGAAATCCTCCGCATCTGTTGCTTCAAGTAGAAGATCTACTCGTACGAGTAAAACCTCATTTTCCTCTAAATCCAACAAAATTCGTAAAACAGGAGCTGCAGGAAATAGTCGTCCTAACATTGCTTCAAAGAAAAAGCGAGGGGGCTCAAAAAGTAGCGTTAAATCTCGCTCTTCTATAGTAAGGTTTAAATAAATGTCTTTTCGTGTCTTATACATGAATATAAATTACACTTAATTGTATAAAGAGACACGTATATGTGTAGGTTTATTTAACGTTTAATGATACTAGTATGCTACACACTAGAGTAAAATTGAGTTTGTATGACAAGATTATCGTGATATGAAAAAATAAACTTACTTGTACAACAAAAGAAAAGTTTCACGTGCTCGGGCAAGTGAAGGTCTTGCTAACCCCTCCTGCCTTATACTTAATATTGAGCAAGGCAAGAAATGTAATTTGTTTTATTCATAAAGTTATAAGTAGGTTTTTTCTTAGTTTCTTCAAAGGAAAGGATAAGGAATTCGTTTATGTCGTGCAATAGCTCAATCGGAATTCCGGAAGTTGGTATACGTCATTCCCAGTAGTGCTGTAGAGCAGAATTGAATGGATAAGCAAGGTCAGTGAAAGTTGGTGTGTAGGTCTATAAAGTTTTTCCATGAAGCAGCAGAGTCCCACTTATGGACAAAAGAGCCTCACACTACAACTCTCTGCTAACGAAAGACACCCAATCACTCTCATTTATGCTTCCCTGTGGGCTCCTTACCATTACCTCCACATTTTTGGTCTAGTTCGTGTGGCTTTGCAAATCAATTATTTGCAGCCTTGGGTTTGTCAAAAAGGCCAAGTAATAATCGTCACATCGTGGAATATGAATGCAAATTGAGCGAGTGTGAAGTGAAGATTGACTGGAAAATTTACCAAATAAGCCATAGTTCGGGCTAAAAAGAGCTCTTTTTGTCATAGCTCATAAAACATATGTGGGTATGCACACGTATACATGTATAAATGTTGGAATCTTGTTGGTTACAATTGATTCCATTAAGACCATTGCGGTTTTCAATTAATTTTCTCCTAGCATTTTGACTGAATGCTGACTCAGGGGAACAGAGGGCGATGGGGCAATAGGTGCAAATGACAAAACACACCTACTGATACATACACCAAGATATTAATATATATTGTGGTGAAAATACCTATCGAGTTGAAATCAGCATGTTGACTCTCGAAACGATTGCATTGCTCAACATTTCTTTCCCCTGTCTGCTGTGCTGGTCTTTTCGCTTTTTGCATGTCACTCATATTTCATCCCAGTGTCTCATTTGCTCCATGAAAGTGATTCCCGTGGTGGTTGGGTGGTGGTGGTGGTGATATGGTGAGGAAGCGAGTAGTAGCGAGTAAGATATTTCTCACTTTCCCAGCATGACCTGGTACAAGCCAAAGCCAGCCTTTTGCTCTCCCCGTGTGCTTGACTGACTTCTTTTTCCTGGAGAGAAAGTTAATATTCCAAAAGGCTTCTGGAAGAGATAAACAGACACGACTAAAGTTCCCTTGCCTCCACTCCATGCACACACAACTTTTTAAATGTTTACATTCTCTCCTTCGCTAAGGTGGCGTATGTACATGGTTCTTGTGAGACAGAATTTGCGTCCCAAGTTTTGCAGACCTTAGCATGCTTTGGAGATGGGAGGGGTATATTTATTGATTTTCCGAGCGTAGGTTTACATTCGGGGGAACATTTTCCCAGGCAGACCAGTCGTGTGCATGGATATATAATGTTCTTCTCATCGCTGCTGCTCTGTGAGTCGTGTGTAGTTGGTTGTCGTTGATGGAGGTGCTACTACTGGTACAGGAGGCTGCCTGGTCATAGTGCGTTGCATTGCATTCCACCGAGCACACCGAGATAAGCATCTTCAAAAAGGTCACGTTTTACTTTGTAATAGCTTTCTCTCAGGCGAGTAGAGTCTCGTCATCGTTTCGCAATTTCTCCAAGTGCACTTGAACCATTTCGTTCCATTTACTCCACAAGAAGCAAGCAGCTCACTAACTCACTCGCTCATTCAATAAGAGGTAAGTAAGCCTGCAATTCATCTCTTAAAATCACGATTGTCATCACCTTGTTGAATGTTTTGTGCTACTTTTCTCCATCTCGTCATCTTGACTCAATTAGCTCATTTTTTTCTGCCTGGAGGTTATCTCACCTGACTCGAGAAAGTCGTACAATCGCTAAGAAAGAGATTCCTTTCGGTTTATTTACATTTTGTGTCATTCACTTTCTTTCCTCTTTTCTTGAGACCACTCTTGCCTCACGACTGGTAAACAAACACTAAACAGTCGGAAAAAACTAGGAGAGTATACACTGGAGGGGCAAGTTGGGAAGTTGAGAAATAAAAGTTTGTTTGCATATGCGAGAGACTGGAAATCATTGGATGTTAGTGGTGAAAGGGATTCCATGCTCCAGGATATTGTCAGAGGATAGACAAGTGTTGCATGTGTGGGTACCTATGCACCTTCATACGTTCACATATGTAATAAGTATGGACCAAGGGAAATAAAAAGTCTGGTATTTTGCGTTGGCGGAGGAAAGTTTGCAGGTCATATGTATGTAATTTATATTACTCGTTGGTATGTGCACACATATGAATTTCGATAAAGTGAATATAAATTCATCCACTGCATACTCACCCCACCAACGGGGTTATAAATATTAGCCCCAAAGTGCAAGGAACACGAATGTGTTTGGTGATATTATATATCTACGATGAAGATCGATTTTAAACAATAGTTCAGCCAACCCACTCGATTGATCTGCCATTTGCTAGATGTATGCATATTGTACTTTCATGCAAATATCAAAAAGCTAACTGTTGTTAAAATTTGACTTGTTTTCATACCAATTTAACTATAAAATGAGTCAATTCAGTCATTATATCGCAGTTAACCTGTTTTTCTCACAAGAGGAAAATTCGGTAGCATGATAAGAGGCAATTTGTCTATCGATTTGATGGGTGGCCATCGGATTTCTTAGATTTAGTCAATTTCATCCCCCCACTCTAATCGTGTCTAAGCGTGCCTACAAGTTTCCTGAATAAACAGAAATGTATAAAATATAGATACGCAGCAGTTTTCCTCCTCTCGAAGACTTTTCCTCCTGAGATTAAAAAAATGGAAGGAGACCCAGACGTCCCTGAAAATGTACTCACTCATTGTTATAATTATACATCTATGTATCCTTGTATGTGTATATGTCATGTCTCATTGTTCAAATTTCACCCATTGTTGAATTGAATTGTTGTTATCCTATAGGCCAAAGAGACGGATAACTTGGTTCCATCAGAGAAGGAAGACGATGAAGGTATTGACGAATTGACGGCCGAGATGACAACTCTTTTGTCAGAAATGCCTGGACACAGCGGAGTATCGTCGTCGTCGACCCGCGGCGACGAGGCTGACTCTCAACCCTCCGAGACCACCAGACCACATCCTCATCCATATCATTTTAAAAACAAATACACCTTCCGGTCCGACTCGGTTTACTCTGACGTTATCCCCATGTCTGCAGCATCCAACCACTCCAACTCCCACAAAACATCGGGTAATAATAATAAGCTCTGAATTTATTTATCATTCACATTGCATCAAATTGACGGTGGGTGTATAATCCGGCTGAGAGAAATAGCAAAGCTCAAATCCGTTTATGTTGATGACCACTTTCACCCTGAGCCCTAGCTTGGACTGATGGACGGAAGCAGAAAGAAAGCAGAGAGGATTGAGGGGATTCATGTGGTGGGTGGTGGGGAATGATGATATTCTTAATTCATAAAACTGCTACTGCGTAAAATCATCTATCTATCAACTGCCCCGCTATGACAGGCACTGTTTCCTGATGAAGGAAATAAACATTAACATCCCATTCACTTCTCATATTGTGGGAGCTTTATCAAGTCCAAAATGTGGTAAAAAATCAGTGACGACGGTACAAACTGCACAACTATCAAGTTCCATGATCATTATGGATTTAAGCTACGCCTCAGATTTCCGCACTATGTATTTAGTACGTTGTATTATATGTACGCCCTCAAGGCCAGACCATGAAGTTGATGAGATTGCTGGAAAAAATTCAGAACTCTGTTCTACGTACTCCTGAGATCCGTAATCGTGGAGAGTGGCCGTGCTGCTGGCGAGCGAGTGAGAGAGGGACTGCTGTTGTAGCTTTAATACGATTATGGGACGGATTACGCTTGGAGTCACACGTGAAAAGCAGGAGAGAAAAATTCCAGATAATAACACTTTCACCGACTGAGGAGAGAATGAGTGAGTTGGAGTGAAAGCAGCTCGAGTTGCTTCTTCATGAGACAAACCAACACCGTGTTGTCGGTTTGGTCCTGCCTCGTGATGCGATTCGCATGGTGATGCGAATTCCTTATTTTAGGCCGTGTTTTATTTGCTGCTGCTGCTAGAACAGAGGTATCTGTAGTGATGAGACGAGACACACCGCAGCCAGCGTCGTCTGACGTTGCTTTCTCATTGGGGAATTGGAAAAACGCCACAATATATCTCCGGTGTATATTCATAAGCTCATTCATCGTTCTGGAAGCAACCACTTCTCTTCCCCTTCTGCTCCAAGTCATTCATCAATTTTACATTTACGGCCAAAAGTCCCTTCAGGTCTCGTTCCCTTATTTCTTTCTTCGTCTTTGAGCCTGTCTCTCCAATGGACCAAACTTTTTGCTCTTTCATCTGCGCTTTCTGCTTCTCCAAGAAAAAAATCTCGTTAGCGGAATGCAACGCTTTGGGAAAACGCGAAGAAGAAGACAAGACGACGTACGTTTCTACGTTTCAGTTGATGAGAATAGTAATAAATTCTGGAATGGGATTAGGTTTTATGACCAACTGTCAGACCTTGAAAGCGACAGGAGCAATACGAGGTTTTCGGTATATACATATGTAAAGATGAAACATGGGCACTTTCACTCATCGCCCGTCAAAGAATGATGTGAAATGTTTACATGTGACAAGGAAATAAAATTGCTCAACCAAAGTGTATTGTACATATACAATTCATTCAGGTGGTCAACAAAAGAACTGACACAATCTGATTAACAAATACATATTGCTGCATATGTATGTTTTCTCAATAAATATTTGCTTGCTCCAAACAATTTGCCACGTCCCATTACGTTTATGTAAATGTCAATATCCAATAATGTGGTAGGAGGCTATATATATATTTCGAAAGAAAGTGGAAAATAGTTTCATCATGATCGAACTTTATGCAATATCAGCAATATAGGCAAAGTGTCATGCATAGCCGTATGTATGTACATACATGTAATCGTCCTAAGATACCCCAGTCGAATAACTTTCACTCTCTCATGATCCTTAAGTTACTGGAAATTCCTTGGCAAGGATTTGCATTAACATGTCAAGTTTATTGTCTCTTATGTATATAGAATGTGACAACTGAATTTTTTTGGCATCATCACATATGCCATTCCTGCAAATAATATCCTTGAATCCTGTAAAAATGCGACTCGCGTATGTAGTTAGGTAAACTCATATCTGTAACACCCGTGATCAACCAGCCGTATGTCTTGCTTGTTGTTTGCTCAATCCATTGTTGATTGTGTTTTGTATGAGGTTTGATAAAAAACTTTCTTTTTCTCTATTGTGTAGAGTCCCGTGAAAAGTCTGGGTCTTTATCATCCCTGAAGGCGAAGGAGTCGAAATGGACGACCCTCAAGAAAAAGTTGGGAAGACTGAATTCTAGCTCCAGTGCAGTGACATCCAATTCTAGCTCAGAAAACCCACCGGAAGAGAACAAGGAAGGCGAAAAACGACGACCTACAAAATCATTAAATGAAAAGAGAAGCTTTTTCCAACGGTAAATGATTTTTTATGCTTTAACCCTTAAAAATAAATGTTAAGTGAGCACGATAAAGATAATAATTCCATAAAGAAAACAAATGAATTCACCATCATTCTGTTGATTTTTTAGCGCTAAAACGATGTCGATCCTCCCAGTTCACAGATCATCCAAGGAAAGAGATGATCCTCCACCGCCCAGACGGGTGATTGAGCCCCCAGAGCTGTTCAATGTGGGTGGGGAGATGAATCTAATTCCTCTCGAATTACTAATTGACGTTAATAGTGTGGGTCTCAAAAGGTAGATTGGAAACGGAGCAGATGGAACATCAAACTTTCTCCTCATCTTCTCTCTCTCCTTCTCTTTACACTTTCCCCTCATTAAAATTAATACTACTGATATCCGAGAATGGCGAAATGGCGGATGGCAAGCTTTCTCCCTACGTAAATTCTCTATTTCAACTCAATCTCAAGTATTCCACTCCTACTTATCATATGAATATGAGGAGAATGAGATGTCCCAGCCAAATTAAGATGCGAGATATTGAGTTGAAGTGGGAGTTGATTCTCGGGAGCTTGAGGGATGACATTTCCTGAGTCAGACACACTCCTCGTCGTACATAGACTTGCACACTCGTCGTCAATCCTTTCTCATTAATACTTGAGTAATTTATACTAGATTGTCAAGCCAAGCCTTTAATATTAATTAATACCTTGTCCCGTTGGCTGGGTTTGGGCCAAAATCATGATTCGCTTGTCTGAGCATTTCCTTCTTACTATTACCACAACCAGTTAACCGTGTCGTAAAATCAAGCCTTGCCTTTCTCGTTAAACTTTCTCCTTGCAGTCTTTCATCCAGATCCAGCATCGGCAAACTGTATTATTACTAAAACCTGCTACCAAGTAGTGTGTAACGTGATATTATGTTATAGACCGACAAGGCCCGAAAAGGTCACTAGTTCATATTCGACTTGAATTTACAACCAGGCCCACATATTTATTCCAAGTGAAATTCAAATTCCTTGCGAAATATGCAACATTCTTACACAAGCCTACATACTTAGGATTAGTTGTTTGAGTAATAATGCCAATGCTGCACAGAATACATAATACTTATGTAAAGACTTCCTTTTGCGTAGGTAACCTGAAATTTCCATATTCTTATGAAACCTGCAACAGTTCTTTTGCACGAGGCTAGAATTGACAACTCTCTTGTTTCACTCACTGTTGCTTTTATTGCTATATTTATATTTCTTGTGTACCAGCAGACATGCATTTACCAGGAAAAGTTGTAAACGGCAAACTATAATCATAGTAATAATGGAATTCTGTAAACAATTCTTACTTGTTTCATTTTGCACAGATTAGACCGAGTGCCATGGTACACGTCCTACACGTTTTTAGGGAACAGACAGATTATTTCGTTTTTATAATAAGGCCTCTATTTCCAAACTCCATTATTTTTCCACGATTGCCATCTCGTTAATATCTCGATATCATACATATATTTGACGACCAGAAAATAACCCTCGAAAAATTCTGCATGCAATTACAGCTTTCGATTCCAACCTATCTGCAATACACACGTATATTCTGAATTTTCTCAATCGTGCTAAATTATTTTTAGGTAAAATTTGAATACCTGAACAGTTCATTATGCAAAGACGAACGTGTATGCATATATGTAGGTATATTGTCGTTAAGGCCTATATTTCATTGTCAGAATATGTACTAGCTATCGGCTATTTATTGTTCCACTCTGCGATTGTTTGTTAAATTTCTCTGCAAATATTGAAAAACACATGAACATACGATCCTATTTGATTGAACCCATTTGACCAATCAACTACCAAGAAGCCTTGACTAACCAACGCATACATAGACATTGAAACTCAAATGCTTTCACCCATCACAATGTACTAGCTTATGCAAATTTGTTATCATTATGTAAGTAGTACCAGCTGCATAATATCTGCAAAACCTGGACTGAAATACGAGTAACACGGAATTCACGAGTTGTACCATATCTAAATATCTCAGTCTTAACAAAGAAAGATCAGAGTCATGCAAAATAATTGATGACAAGAATTTATAAAGACAACTCTTATTTGCTGTAATGTATATTACGAGGGATCTTGAGGATGGCGCCCTATTTATGCGTGGGCCATACAACGATTAATGATTGTTCAAATTAAGGAGACAATTTTCTGAACATGTAATTTTGTCAAGTGACAATTTGTCACTTGCGCTGTTTTTGGATCTCTATTAAACAAATCTAATAGGTAGGAATATCATTCGTTAGACGCAATTGTGCTGTGTAGCAATGCTGGAGTAGTGTAATTACATGACATTAGTGCAAGACATACAATTATTAGCAGACTACGTAGGCAATAGGAATTTATGTATGTACTGTATTGGCCTATTTGGCCTTAAATGTGCACTTCTTGGATTTAACGGACATATTCCCGAAAACAGGTTGAAACTGGACAATTGCGGGCACACACTAAACTGAATTAATGCTTTCAAATAAAAATAGATAATAATTTATGCAGCCTTTATGTATGTTTATGTCTCACGCATGTAGCAGCTCATTTACAGAATACAATTAATTTAAGTATATTTCATCAAATTTTTTTATATCAGATGCATATCCGTGGAAGGAAATATATATTGTGTAATAAATAATGTTATGTGTTATGTTATGCAATAATTTGTTCTATATTGTAATTAAGCCATGTGTATAGTATTCGAATAATTATGTAGCCAATTGTCCAACGCAGCGATTTTACCGAATTGTATACCTACAACATAGTGATGTCTCGACCGACAACGTCTGTATCCCCAAATAAATAATACATACTTTACTACTCATGAAATCCATAATACCAAATATGTAATATATTTTTAATAAATTTAGGAATTTATCCAAAAATAAGAAGTCTTGAACAATTTTGATATTTATTGCGTAATCTATGCTCCCTCGTAAAATAAAACTATATTGGTGTATATACATATTTACGAATCATGTCACTGTTCGTACTCACGATATTTTGTGTCCTTTGGGATACGACTCAATAATGCATTGTAATCGATGGTGTAATTCCGTGGCAGTAGTTACGTCAGCAGTTGATAGCTGCAAGTGACTAGAACTTGTATAGTTGCTCTGGGCTCCTTGAGTGAGAGATACCAAAACTCGGTTTTTTGTTGCATCCAACTTGACGCCGGAAATATGTGAAAATGGGTATGTCTTAATTTTTGCTTGAAATTCAAGTTCCATGCGGTCGCGGTGAATAACTGAAAGTACAAAGGATTCGATTATATTAATTTTCAAACTAACTACCCATATCGTATCAATTTTACTGTAAAAAATCAAGTTTTGTGTTACCGCATAGCGCATTTCGAACCCGGTTAAATCTCCCTGTGACGGTAACTCGAAATAACTCTGAATGTCCTGGCATGTCATTTTCAGGTTTGCTAAAACATTAAATTATCAAGATCAATGATTCCGTAGCATGAATGAAACAAACTTTCGTAGATCAAATTGTTGATAGTGTGTTTTCAATTATTATTACCTTGTAGCATCACTCACTCTGGCTGCTTGGACGCTCTTAGCACCGTTTCTAACTAAACAAAATTCTCGACACTTTGTTTCGCCTATATTCATATTTAAGTCTTTGAAAACTACGGAAGGGTGTCCCAATTTCTCCAAATGATATCCATTAATATCTGATGTATTTCCAGTCAATTTAATCCATCCAGACTTTTGGAAAACAATCTCAAGAGCCTCCTTCATCGTGATAGTTTGAGGATCAGGTAAAGAAACGCGCAGTTCTCCAGCATTAGGAAGTAGAAAAGTGAAAATGTAAGTTAACTTTGGTTGCTCCGCTTGCCCATCCGCCGGGACGAGTGCTAAATGACTAAATGAAAATTTTCCAATAGGTTCATGGTGATCTAATGGGGGGAAATCATTATCCCATTCTCCATCAACGTCGGATATCTGAATACTAAACAAGAAAAAAATGACAACATAACATAACATCAATACAACATTACATTTCATAATGCAAAATAATTATTTGGTAATTGTTTGCGGTCAGTACTTGTATTGGTGGACAGTCTTTAACTTGACATCAGGATAAGTTTTACTGATGACCCAAAGGACAAGGCCAATCAGCTCCAAAACTTTAGCTGTTGCTACCACAGCCACTTTCACGGGATAAGATCTTATTCGAATGGGTAGGAAGGTGACAAAAATGGCAAATTTTCTATATGGAATTGAAGGATGACAACTTGATTCGAACCTAGAATATTTAGAATGGAAAACAATTCTTTAGACTATTGTTGAGCACGAATTATGATACTTTACTTTATGATACTTTACGCAAACTTACGTCGCATAACGCATATAGGGTATGCTGTCCGGATGTGGACCCTTCCTACAAATATTTTCCACTTGGTTAGTACGCCGTCGACCAGTTACCAATAAGCAAGTGATATGTATACATACGTTAGTAATTGTTGGACATGAACTACATGATCCCCTCGGGTCTTTGAATCTTCTTGATAATCCATATTTGGCTCGAATATCAAGTCATTCTTAATGACATCGTTGTCAGTTATTCTTACAAATTGTGTAGCGTTTTGAGCTTTTTTCTGTTTATCTAGTTTCTCCAGTCGAATTGCTGTGTTGGACCTGCGTCGATGCCCCAGATCAGCTCCATCTAAATTAGCTTAATTTGCACTTGCTTTATTTATTCCGAACTTAAATTTTGCGAATTAACCAACCTCTAATATCAAACGAGTCTTCGCTGGATGCAGAGCTTGTGTCTCCTCCCCCTCCTTGTTGGTCGCCCAAGTATGGTTTCTCCTTTAACACCTTCTCGCAAACGCCTAAATCATACAATTTGTAGAAATTAGTCATTAATGGCTTTTTTAAAGCAAAATATATAATGCATGTTAAACAACTCACCTGAATCATCTTCTATGGTGAAAGCTGTTCTTATCAACCGACACAACCACTTTTTGTCATCATAAAGGACCATCCTGATGCTGTATGGTAATATAATCTCAATAATCTGTTCCTAACTACTTAAACTGGAACGCGATATTACTATTAATTTTACCTTTTGGAACAAGCAACAAACTGCTTTCTATTTCTTTATTTAAAAAACAATTGCAACAACATGTAAACAGGCACACAAATGGAAGATCTGCTGCCACTGTATCATTCATGCATGAATAATAAGTCCGAGCACATTCTAATTTTTTTTTGTTATGTTGAAACTCGCGTTTTAAAATGCACGGATAATGTAAATGTCGGAGAGAAAGTTGAATGAAAATAGAAGAATGTTATGATTGAAGAAAGTTGAGTGAGGAGTTTGGTGAGCGGTTTAGTTCACAAGATTTAGGACTTGTTTGGGGCAAGACTGAGCTTTCAGCGTAATAAATGCCCACAAAACTGTACCAAACTTTTCCCAACCCAATTTTTCACCTATTTAACAATGACATTAGACAAATATTTAATGCATAATAATAATTCAAAGTAATTTTTAATGTAATGTAAACCCCTTATAAACGAATGTTGTGTCGTAATAGATTTTAGGTTCTTAATTTTGCAAAGACTGCAGTCTTTGAACAGAGCAGTCGACTGCTCTGTTCATGCTAGACTAGAAAAACATGCAATTTCGGTCATGGTGCCCCAACATTTCCTGTCTCAAATAACATCCAACTGACAAATATTCATAATTAATTTGAACTTTTAATTTTCGATAGTTTATGAAATTAATGCGGAATCGCTGGAACTGGATAGGTTACAAAAATTGTTACCGCAGTGAGAAACAAACCCACGACTCTCTGTTTTCATAACATAATTTTTAAAATTATTCGTTAGCCCAAGTTAATGCATTATATATATGTCTTTTGAAATGATTACCCTACTTTTACTTTTAACGTAGCATTTTTAAGTCATCATTATGAACTAACTGTCTTGCGAATAGAACCGAATTCGCAACTCCTAACGAAACATTTATTGCGTAGTGCATGTGCGCAAATGTTGGCAAAAGTACAGGATGGAAATGCCATTATTGCGTAGTTGTTTGAAAAAAGCATGCAACTAACAACTTGAATTCATGTTTTTCGAACGTTTAAACGTTTACATGCGAAGAATTGGCTTGTTCTGTCTGACTCGTCTCATCAGGGAGATTATAAAATTCTAAAAATGTCCTGTATTTCGTACAATATGTAGTTGAGGAGGAATGGCACGGCGATTTCATTTGCTCATGTTCTACGACGGCTCTACTGTGTATGCACATATATAAATGCTATACAGATGTATGTAACGCATTACGCGAACTGTTGGAAGATTGAGACACGTACTTCTATTTATAAACTCGAATGTCTCATTCATTCATCATTGGCATTCATTGGGCTTTATGCCAACCAACTTTTTTTGTGGATGAGCGACAGAGTCCAAGTTACACATTTTGATATCTGTGACCTACGCTTCGGAGCAAATATTGAACACCGCATGAGGATGTACACTCTTATTAAGTATAGGAAACACAAAATGCGTGTAATGAAGCAAAATTTTAACCCTACCAGTACCACCACTTGTTGGTTCAGCAGCGCTTAATTTTATGAACATGTATATGAGTAGTATTTAATGATGTATGGATGTACAATACTCCTCAGCCATGCTACCATGCCATGTGGCATTCTCTCACAGACAGACATAGTTGGTCATTTGGTGGTATCTCAACAAATTTGCATAATTGCTGCTCAATTTATAACCGGCTCCAGAAAAGCGGATTGACGAACAACTACTGCGTGACAACATTTACTCGATCCGATCCACCCTACAACCATCACACATGCGAATTAATTGTCTGGAGAGAATAAAGTGTGTGTGTGATGTGAATACGCTCCATTCAAAGCTTTCAAATGAGCCGAGAAGCTAGAAACATACATAATTGCCACAAAGATATGCCCCATAAGTGGGAAGACCATGGTGAGGTTGATTGCCAAGGAGCACATTGTATGATGTATCAAGTAATAAGTTACAAGTGTATGTACATTGGATAATTTAACAAATGGAATATTGAGACAACTAATTATTATTCTTCAGAGCATCTATTTTTACATGTATTCCATATCGGGCAAACGTATAAAAGTGTTGTCCAACTCCAGCCAGATAGTAGAAGAGGTACAGTGATCAATGGTTCTGTATCTTATCAGAATTATCATGATAAACTAGGTGCACAGCTTGATAACATTTCATTTTAAAATGTTTGGACATTGATGGTGGCACTTTTCCCGTTTTCATCTCGGAGCAGAATTGCTTCTGCATCTTCTGATCCAGCTTCACGTTAAATGTCCCACAGACCTACATTTCAATTCCAAACTTCCAAAGCGAAACTTGTTAAGCTTACTTATCCTTCCTACGTTTTCTGACTGTGCATACACTTGCATAATGTGATATTTCTCTTAAAAGCAAAGCACATAGCACATACGATTCGATATCTCTTGGTTTTCGTGTAATGAGCTACGGTACAGAAGAAGAGGAATAGAATGGTTTGGCAGCATCATACAAAGTCCAGTCTCGGAGAGGTACATATATACGTAACCCTTTACACACTAATAACACCAAGATACGATAATCATGGTGAAAAAGTGTACATTGGGCTTCTTTCGTACATATATCGCATTTTCTATATCATCCACCTACCACTACATATATGCACAGATAGATATTCACCAATGCCATTACTACTACTTACTACTACCAACCAAATCAACATAAAAGTAATGATGCCTGCAAACATAAAGACCATGCCATTGAAAGTTTGGCGTTTATATGGAGAAGCTGAGCTACACATGCAAAGCCACTCTTCTTGCCTATGCACATGTTGTTGGCTATCCATGTACATACTTATCCATGCACCAAGCCTCCATCATTTACTTCTTTAATAAAACCTTACTCACAAATGTTGTTTTGGACACTACATCCTTGAATTGATAAATCCTACCTATAAACCCACTACACTAGTCTCTCCCCACTGCTATCTCTTTCTTCTTTCCTCAGGCTGCTTCGGTTGGGTAGGCCCAACCACTTATTCCATGGAACTGGCTGGCTTAGGATGAGCATTCTTTATGAAAGTCCCAAGTTTACGTGCGTTTTGCTCTCGTGAAATAAACTGAGAGTGAGTGCATCCATACACGTCTATGCCCCTCCAAAACAGCTCCAACTAAATGGACAGGCCTCGTGTAAAGCCGTGTATGACGACGACGACGATGATGATAATGATGTTGGGCCTGGAGAAAGAGTCGTGTTAAGAGCTACATATATAAGCCATTAGATCATAGAGAATTAAAGCAGCGTTTTAGCTGGTCTGTCTGCATGCATGTATATCCTATAGAATACCCTCCTTCTCCATAAGTAGTTTAGTTGGTTAGCCGTATATACGTAGCTTTTAGTTTGGTTGCATATCGAGGTTTGTACTTGAACTTGTACTACTGCTGCTGCTGGATTCATTGTTGGATGGATCGGATCCCTCCCCCTCTCTCGTCTCTCCCTTTATTAATTATTTAATATAAACTTGGGCTGGAGTGTGAAATAATAAAATAAAATAAAACAGTGCAGTTTATTGTGTCTGCTAGCCACGGGTTGACCGAATTTGTGTGATAAAGAACAGTGCGGCCGACCTGGACAAATTCATATTAACAACAAGTTCCTACTTGCTTGCTATCCCTGCTGAGCTATCCGAATCCGGAGAAAGCAGGCAGAGTGCACGGGCTATAGGGAGAAAGTTCTGGCCGTGTGTAGAGTACGTTGAGGTGGGTAGAGTAGAATCCATAGTGTTGTTTGTTCCGCAACCTCCACTTTGTATATACTCCATTTACTCCGATTCGGAATCCAGGCCAAGTCAACCCATTTCATCTTGAACTTGGGCAGAACGATGGTGTTTTCAAGAGGGACAACCATATAGAACTACGATACACATTGTGCCTCAAGGAAATCGACCATATACATAGTTTGCATCGACGGAAAGTAAAAACTAAACTTGGTGCATAAAATAGGTCGTGGCGTGGTTTATAAAATTGTGTCCCCTCTGCAACTACTCTGTCGCTAATGGTGGAAGAGGAGGAGGAGGAAAATAATAATCACGAGAAAAAGTGGGTTAGTAGTGGCGTGTTGTTGGTGGTGATGGTGGTGGTGGAGCAGTTTTCGGAGTTTTCGGGACCTATTTCGTCTGCGCTGCCCTTGAACTAGAAATCCCCGCAATAGAATTACGACGACGTCTCCTGACCCACTTTCTCCCACCTCCTCCCATTCTCACCACGCTCCTCCAGGTCTCCTTGCGACACACACACCCTCTTCACCTCCTCTTCAGTTACCTCGACTCTTATTGTCCATGCTCCTTAGTCCTCCGACAACAACAATAACATCACCTACGCACAGCCAAAACGGCTGCACCCATAGGTCTCACTTTTTTTAGAGTCAAGGTAATTACACAACAGACTCAAACAACCTGCTACCCGACGCAACCATTCATTAACAACCGTTCCAAGTTTTTCTCTGATAAAAATACCATCTCAAAATATAAGCCTACACATTTCCCTCGCTTTAAATAACCAAAGAAAATAAATCAAGAAACGTAAAACAAATATCTTAATCACCAGAATAAATACGACACCTTTAATACTGCATCACAGAATTCGGTGACTGAATGAGTGGTGTCTGTTTTACTCATTAAAATTGTTTATTTTGACTATCAAAGTAAGTGATTTAGACCTGAATCTAAACGAAATTGAAATTGTGTTAAAAAAATCAATTGTTTATTTTACTGCCGACGACCTGGAAAAAGTTTAATACTAAATATAAGCAGCTCAACGTTATAATAGCATAAAATATGCGACTAACAAAAGTGCGACTTATATAAACTTGCTACAGAATTCATTCTCAAGAATGTGATTTGCAATGTACCTAAATAGCGTAGACTGCAAACATTGGGAAAGTATAGACAAAATATAATAATATCGACTCCTCCAGATCAGAGAGTCATACACATGTATAATTTGAGTTAATAAATACAATTCATTTTAATACTAGTTACTACAACCTTAGCCCCCGGTAATGAACTTTGGATCATGGAATGTGGCTTTAAAATTTGAATCGCCTTAATTTCCCTATCCGTTTCTCTGTTTGCCATCACCAGATATTCTAACGATCTACCTGAACTAAAGACAATCATTGCTTTAAAGGAGAACAAATAATTTGAATATCTCATAGGAATCACACAACTAAATACTAAATATACAATTGTCCCGTCCTGTTCCTAACTCTGATCTGAACCCCTTCATTCCCCAAGCCATCATCCAAGGCAAGTCAATCTATTACTGAAATATATAAATCCCACAAAAAGTGTTCCATCAACGACCACGCCAATATTATTTCACTTTTAAAACTGAGAAACTCTCTGCAAGCTTTAATCTCAACGTAACCGGTGAACACTTTTGCTGCTGCTGCTGTATTACTTATTACCTGTGAAGCTATTCTCCGACCTTGACACACATTTATATTTAGAAGTTGAAAAGTATTGCCAAATCACATAAAACATTGGCAAATCTAAAAATCCTACATCAGGAACATAGTTTACTTACTACTACGAAAAAATCAATCACTGGTTGGAACTAGTAATTACCTTCCCTACTTGCGGTGGTCGGGTTGGGTGATCCTTGACTAGATATGCATAAGCTCATTGGTCTATAGAACTGTATGCAGTTGAATACTTAAAAACGAATAATTTCAACCAACGAGTACCGCATAACACGACAACTAAATACCTGAGACCAATTTCTAATTACAATAAATTAAAAAATAAGCGTTCGTCAAAATGCACGAGGAGGACGAAGCCAGTACGACATCGGTGGAGAAAGTTGTTATCATTGAAATTGGCCCAGAACAAGCCGAGGGTAGCTCCACCTCAGAATCTCATCATGACAATTTGGACAACTCCAACAGCACGACGGCCGAGTCTCCTCCCTTCACGGGTAACCCCACTTTTTTTATTAATACTTCATACATATACGGGCACTGCATTAAAATATCATGCCACACACATTCTTGCCTACACATGCATGTAAGTACTCTAAGTACATATATTCAAGACTCGTTGATTGAGGATTCGATCCGACGTATGTACATATATATGTATTATGCTTGTATTTGTATTACATACAACAACAGGATGGTGGCATAAAACAAATCCTAAAAGGAAACCACAGTATAAAATTGTGGATCTACATGTATGTATTTTATGATGTGTGCTTATTACACACAAATTTGAAGATTGTTGGGTATACCCATTGTACGTCAAGAAAGGGTCCACTTCGGCTGGATGAAAAATATTAGAAAGTGGGAAAGTGAATAAGTTTATATGGAATACACGGTGCATCATACATATTATTATTATGTAGTTCTAATCCATAGTAAATACACCCTTTTGTGTAAAATAATGCCCTCTTCTTTCCTACCTGCTGGTAGGCGCTACCTTACCAGCCAGCATCATCCTCTTATTACACACTTTGTAATGCATGTTATAACCATAGAGCTGTATATAACAACTCACTACTCATTTCCACGCTGGACAACCACTACCTGTCAGGATCATAGTGGACCAACAAGAGGAAGTAGCTGGAGTGACTTCGGTGTCTTTTTAACAGACGGTAGCACCTGCCACTATTACTTCTTCGAGTACTTTTTCTCCCACTTTTGGTAGAGAAAAGTCAGATGCTGGGGGTTGTACGGAAATGCATATGTGTGGTCGTCATGTGTATGTGCCTAATACAGTCATCAGAGCTGAGGGGAATGACGACGAGGAAGTGGATAGACGGGGATCAGTATTTGTGGTGCCCAATCATGTGCTGTTGCTAGCCAAGTAGCCCACTGTTCCAGTTTCTCCTGGAGCAAGGCAACTGGGCTACACCGGGTAGCAGCATTTGAAGTTCGTGCTCCACTTCTTCGGGTATCGATCTGGAGAAAGTGGGTCACTTTCTCTGGTGCTCGCTTTACATAATTCAGCTCAGCACCATGTTGCGGGATTTCAGAGTACCCGTTCTTCTTTCCATGAAATCACATTAATGTAGACCCTCCAGTCTAGTCCATTTTTCAAGTGACCAACGCTGCTTAAACTGTGGATATCAAAGTGAATTGCTTAATGAACCCTGCACCCTACCTCTCATATAAGTACAACTCTGCGATTTCACCAGCCTTTTCCATGATAATGTAGGGAGAAATCCGGTAAAACTGTATCACAGCACGGAAAAATTAAAACTATTTAATTCGATAACAGTTTTACTTGTTATCAATCATGTCACAATCTTATACTATCATGAAGTTTGTGTAATTTACTGTTTGCCTTTGACAATTACTTTATATAATTCACAATTGTACAATTTTAATTTTTAAGTACTCGTTAAATACTATCCAGTGATTGGGGTCGTTAACATAATAATCATTATACGTAGTTAATTGCACATTGTGTGAAGTACTTTTACTGATCTCCAGTAGCTAGTGTATATTATACACTGTATAATGCAAATACCAATAAATCGAACGGAGACACGAGAGTAATGCGATAAAGGGTTCAATAGGTTAGCAGACGATAATTTTGCATGGTCAATACATAAATTCAGTCGCCGTCAATCTTGCATATGACTCATTTTCATTAGAAATTAACTTCAAGTGACAACTCAACATCAAACCTCAGTTAAAGCGGCTTTATCTGTTATTTAATTTTTCTTCTTTAATTGTCATTCCAGAAAATTAGGGCAATCTTCTAATTAGAAGGTCTATTCGAATTCATTCGTATGCACCTATTTCTGACGCTAATTTTTAATGTTTGTGTAAGTGCACTCTAAATCTGTAAGCAATGTCACAAACATAAATATGTATAGGAATGGCAAGCATTTCTCAACTCAAGAAATGGCCAATGTTAGTAGGTCACCTATATGTAACTATATATAGTACGTACGTATTCATTCGTACTCGAACTATTCTGGACCTGACCCGATTAGGATTATCGACTTGTAATACACAAAGTACTGATGTCTGTGCCACTATCACATCGTTTTCTTCAGTTCAATTAAAAGCATCACTATCAGTAAATATTAATTATGTCCTTTATTTATGACATTGTGAATATTTACCTGACGGAAACTTATTACCCATCGAACTAAATACACCTAAAAATACGTATTTAAATATGTCCATCCAATTTCTTTACATACTTTTATAACTTCCTGTGAATTATTTTATTTATGTAGTAGCTAATAATCAACACTTGCGTCACATATAAAAATATGGACAGGTACAGCGACACACGATACTAACGTACATATGTTATGCATGAACGTGGTGTTCCTTAATTTAATGTCGTTTTTGTGTGTATTGCAATAATGTGCCGCGTTCATACAAAGCAACAAAAAGCATGACAGGATGGAACTGAATTGCCTTCGTAAAAGTGAAAGTCCAAACGTCTGAAGGTTTCTGCACTTCGCATTGCATTGCATCTTTATTATCTCACTCAAGAAACTAGACCAGCAGCCAACTGCTTGTACAACAGGCCCACCAACAACAATTAACTCTTTAACCATTGTTTTCTGGTTTTAAGCCTGTTACTCGACTGACTGCGACCTTGAGCCTCATTATTTGGTTCTCAGCATATTTTGAATTTATCATTGTACTTCTTTTTGCAGCATTTTCGCACTCAACTCAATGCCCAGCGTTGCGTGAATTCGAAATAAATGATATTTATGACGAATTATGTCATTTGATGCGAAATGCACCACGGCTGAGATGCGTTCAAAAATATGTGAGAATATGCAATTGTGCGAAAATTGCAAGAAACAATGAAAATGTTCTTAACCTGGTTCTGGTTCCGCAATGTCGTGCGGCATGTTTTAATTCATAAAACGCCATTCTCAACAAATTCTTTGCATGTCTGAAAACAGTAGAACAAACAATTATTTATATTTTTGCGAGTTCTCCTAAAGCCAAAACCTCATTTCAATTCATGTGTCAAGACTGCTTACTAACTAACTAAATGTGTGTGTAAGCAGCAGTCTGCTGCAAACTGCAAATTTAAATTGATGCTGTTAATGAACGGAAACATCATTTATTTATGCATTTCATGTTTACTCTCTTCCATTATTATACCATTATCATATTATTATTATTGAAATGGTGTCAATGTTGACCCATGTTTGTGTGTGCGAAAAGGAAATTTAATGAGATGGGAAAATGTGCAGATCTAAATATGTATTGCATAAATTTACAAAAACTTTATCCCTCCATAAATACTTGTATGCATATAAATAAATAAAAAAAGTTTAGATGTAAAGATTTACAATACTTTACAATATACGTACACGTTTTTTAATTTTCTGGTTTACAGGTTTAGCTGTAAAAGGTTAGTCACGAACTAATAAAATCCAAAGGCAAATAGGTACAAGAATGATCAATATTCTTATTTTAGAAATGTAAAGGAATTGTCCAAGGCAGTTTTTATTATTATTACACAAATTAAGACTCTACACTTCATTAACACATACACATATATCTACTTCTGTACATGTGTCATATCATACGTATTTAATATGTGGGAGCAAATGCAACATTACGAAGTCGATAATTGTATTGTCTCATCAGGGCTTGAAACATAGATATGCAGCGTATTAAATTACATCTCTCTCTATCTCTGAGCTATGATGATGTCAAGTGTCTCTCGTGTATTTTATTTTATTAGCGACCAAAATGAGACAGCTAGAGAGGGTGGAAAATAGTTTTTCAAGATTGATGATGATATATGTCGTTGCTGCTGCTGGTGTGCTTGGTGTGTGTGTGTCGTCGTAGTAAAAGAGAGGAAAACCAACGATGATTTTGGATGTGTGTGGATTTATTTGGCTGATGAAGAGACCTCGACCCGAAAACCTCTCCTTTTTTTCAGGGCATACATTTTATACAATCCATCGCTGCTGCTGAGAGCAACTAGTGTTCTCAATCCAAATCTCATCTTTATACGTACGTACGTATGTACATTATATCTTTTGCACATGAATGCTACACCAAGCCAACACTTCCACATTGCGGTATTGATAACAACTTAACACATTTAGCAAATTCAACCATAAAATAATATCCAAATTATGCAGGGACCTCGCTCAACCATAAAGAGGTCTAGTTTAACAGGCCAGTGGGTCACTACATTCATGGAACATGATTTTATTATTACCTATATAAGCTCGATTTGCACATACGTTCCTAATTGATAACATGCACATCCTATCCATCGATAAGCGCTTATTTTTTTCAATACCTGGATTATTTCGGTTCAGACAATAATTTGCATAAATTCCCATTACCAATAATTACTTGTGAATATATTTACAATGTTTCTGAATTCCACAAACTTTGATAAATAAATAACATGTTTTGTCTACGTTATCAAACGAGTGCTTTATGTGGACTGTTCCATTCACCGAAAGCGCATTGTTGTTCGCTTTATGACAACAATTTGTGACATTTCTTAAAAGAGTGAAGCCACGATGAATTTACAGTAGCGTGACCGTAGGAGTACATTGACTACGGAAAGGACACAACAAATGTCACACGTGCATTGCCAGCATTGGAGTTGAGAGGTTTCGACAATAAAATATATTAATTGTCGTAACTTTAATAAGCATTTTCAATGGTGCACCGACACAATCCATCCCATTTAGTGATTGGCAATTCAACCGTTAAATCTTGATTGTGTTTTGAACAATTTATTAAAAAGCGAAAGTTTTTGCGGTGACAGAATTGAACGAAATCAAACTCGTATACACAACACATTAATCGTTAACCGTTTTTCAAAGGAAATTTTCAACCAATTTTCATACCAATTGGAGGGGTTTGCATTAGTATATGGTTTGTGACAAATATACGAATCGATAAGTCTATGTTTAATAACCTTGAATTACAATGCTGGATCAATAACACATAATGCACATGA